GAAAGGAGAGAGGAGAGGGAGGGAGGGACACCTCTGAGTTCTGTCCAGAATTAAGAACACAGATGCAGGGATTGTGTGCTGGTTTAACTCTGCAATTCCCAAATGTTATCCCTACATCGGTATCACCTGAGGAACTGTTTGTAAGAAAATCTGATTCAATATACTTGACCTGGGGACCTCCAAAAGTTTCTCAATTCATTCTAATGATTCTCAGTTTGGAAAGTACTGGTATAAATATTAGCACTAAAAACAACCACTACTAGTTATTGAGTACCTGCCAGGTACTAGGTCCTGTTTTAGGTGCTTTACATGTATTGTTCGATTTAATTCATTAGCAGAAGGGCATTGTGAAGACCAAGTGAGAAAGTGTAAGAAGTTTCAGTGGAATTCATCCCCACTTAGAGAAATAGAAATGGACAAGGAAAGACATCTTGACATAGAGACAACAACTTTTTAATTACCTGTAAAGATATGAAAAAATGTGATTAACATTGATTAAAGCAATAAAAAGACTGATGAGATAAGGGTTTTTTTAAGACCAAAAAAAGGGGGAAAATATTGAGGCAGCATAGAACAGTACTCAAAGAGGTAGAGAGCATGTCTCTCAAATCTGTTCTATTCCTGGGGTAGTATAACAAATTGGCTTCAAAAATTCTGCATATCAGAATTGTTCAGAATTCCAAGTTCAACATTCACTCTCTGCCAGCGCCAACTCAGTTAAATGGGACCCCAAAAGACCTATACCCTCTAGGTCTAAGTAGAAATCAACTGGCTTCCTTAAAGTCCAAAACCTTTATAAAATTTTCCTAGACGAACCTGTTGCAGACAAAAACTTCTCAAATCACACGTAGTCTGAGGTAATTCTTACGTAAGTATTCACCAACCTCTTAAAATGTACCTGGTGCCAGATGCACATGGTATGGATACCTTACTTGTTTTACATATTTTTTCTTGCCTAGCACGTTTGTCTTATTGATGTCTTGAATCAATTATTCCAGAAAGCAGAAAAGATGCTGCATAATAGTGCCTAGCAATGGCATATCCAATTACAATTCATAAATGCTCTTTGACAATGATACATGTAATAGGAGGTAAGTACTATTACACACCACATGAAATTAGGATCAAGAAAGCCTTGAACAAAGTACAGTATCATTCTGGTTAAAATATAAGAAAATTTTGTGAGGACAGAGGTAATAATAGCTCTCTATTGGTCTGACACTCGAGCCCAAGGGCATCTAGCTCTCATCTAACAAAAATCAGAGGTCAGACCAAGCTAGAGATTAAGTGTCAGGTCATTTTCTAGCTCCTATCCCTGAAATGAAGGCTATTTCTTATTTGCAATTATGTATTTCTCAGGCTTAAGTGCCCTGTGCCCAACCAGAATAATCTCTGTTCCCTCTCCTTCCTCTATTAAGCACATCCACTTAGCAACACATCAAAGGAATTAAGCTTTTTAAGCCTGATCCATTTAGAAGTGGCCATTACAGCTTAAAACAGTACCTACCAATCAGGAACAAAAACAGACTTTTTTACATTAAGGTTTATTTTCTCAGATTGCCACACTTCCTTTAAACACTACTTCCAATATCCTTCCTCTTGTTGTTCTTATCAGGTCTACTGTTGTCTATAAATAGAAGAAAATCTGTGTTCAATTAGCTTGAATTACCATCTTTTAAGCAGCTCCTTTTTCTATTCTCAACTCTGGACCTAATTACATCTCCTTGGCCCTGACAATGTCTCTAGAAATGCTACCTCAATGTTTAAAACTTAAACATTTACAAGGTGGGCAGACCATCTGAGGTCAGGAGTTCTAGACCCGCCTGGTCAACATAGTGAAACCCCATGTCTACTGAAAACACAAAAAATTACCCAGGCCTGGTGGCATGTGCCTGTAATCCCAGCTATTCGGGAGGCTGAGACAAGAGAATTGCTTGAGCCCGGGAGGTGGAGACTGCTGTGAGCCAAGATCACGCACCACTGCACTCCAGCCTGGGCGACAGTGAAACCCTGTTTCAAAAAAAAAAAAATTAAACATTTAAACCATAAACTCATATAAGTAATGAGATAGAATATTAAGCAGCTACAGTATTACAAGCTTCATTCTACCTAAGAGGCAGCCTTAGATATCACCATCCATAAAAAGGAAACGAAGGGCAGGCAAAGCTTTTACACTGAAGAGGTCTTGTTCACATTACTTGTATCATGGGAACCAAATAACAGTCACATGAGTTTCCTAATCTTTACAAACATACTTATAAAAAATGGCTATAATAAATCTTAGTTTACAAACCCTGTCGTCCCAAATATTTTAAAACGTTTTCCTGGACTCAAATAGATATCTGCATGTGTAGACCGCATGTTCCAGTGTCATTGTAAAAAATATCCTTACTAGAATGAACTAAGGCGTTCGCCATCAGGTAATACTCAAGACCTTTCACAAGATATATTCCTTTGTTTTATCCACTGGAAAGACCTGATTGCCTTGTGATTGCAGTTTTTTTCAGGCCTCGGTGTCAGTAAACATTCTTCTCCATGGCAACTAGCTTTACATTTAATGGACACTAATTCCTATAACTAATCACATTACCTTCTCTTTGTTGCCTGCCAGTTTCTCCATGGCCCACTTGTACACGACATTTTGGGGTATTGGCTTCATTTAGGTTATTAATTTCATCCAGAAACAAATTTTTTTTCATTTAAAGATACTGTACTGTTTTCTCATAAATCCTTTTTAGATTATAGTGGTGTAGAAATAAATCAACTACATAATTGTCAAAAAAAAAAAAAAAAAAAACCGCTACTAGGATGTCTGCCCATCCTTGGCTAAAGTACCTCCTCACAAGAGAAAATGGCCCTATACCACGGACCAGTTACTTTCCAACAAATTGCAAATCACTTGTAGATCACTTGCCAAGGCAAAGAAGGTTGCTCTAACTTTAGCCCCTACCATTTAATCCAAGGTAGACAGACCATTGTCTTCCACCTTCTCACCAGCCCCCAAAAGATTCAGAGTTAGTTATAAAGGTCTCAGACATCTTTGGAGCAGGACCTAGAAAAACAAACTTATCACCTTAGGCCTATTTTCCTGAGAACCTGGCAAAAACCATAGACTCAGAAAAGTGTGCATTTAACACAAACGTGTATCCAATTTCTGGGATTCTGGAAGGCCCATACATACCCACCAAGCTCATCCATGAGACTTTAGTCAAGAACTCCTTTCTAGAAAATGGCAAGCTGAGATGCCACCCACAAGAACGAGAGCGAGAGCGAGAGAGAGAGAGAGAGAGAGAGAGAGCAAGAGAGAGAGAGAGAAAGGAGGGAGGGAGGGAGGGAGGGAGGGAGGGAGGGAGGGAGGGAAGGAGGAAGGGAGAGAGAGAGATCCTGAATATTACTTTACTTTCATGTAAAGACGGGTTGGGAATCACAGACACATTATTGGGTAATAAAATATCTGTACTGTGATAACTGCCTCAAAATGTCCTGCTTCACTCATCTTCACTCCATAGTCACTGTGTAATCAGTAGTAAATTCGGCCTCACCCTAGTGTCCTTATTCAGGTTTATTCTTCCTCAGAGGACCTCCCTCCAAGTAACGTTGTTTGTTGTCTGTCTCAACTGACTAGAATGGAAGTTCCATGAGGGCAGGGGTTTGTTTTTGCTCATGGCTGTATACCTCTAATGCGTAAGAGGCACTCAAACATGTCAATAGGTTTTTGGGAAACAGGTGGTGTTTGGTTACTTATTTAGTGATGATTTCTGAGATTTCAGTGCACCCATCACCCAAGCAGTGAGCACTGTACCCAATGTGTAGTAGTCTTTTATCCCTCACCCCTCCCACCCTCAAATATTTTTTAATGAATACCCTATAGAACTCTCTTACTCTTCATAGAAAGGATTGGCAAACTATAGCCCACAGGCCAAATCTAGGCTTCCACCTGTTATTGTAAATAAACTTTTAATGAACTCAGCCATGCTTATTCACTTACATATTATTTATAACTGCATCCAGACTACAATGGCAGAGTTTAGTAGTTGCAATGCGAACCACATGGCCTGCAAGGCCACAAATATTTATTATCTGGCCCTTTACAAAAAGAGTTTGCTGGACCCCCATAGCATTCATTTGGTCCTTATTTCCAAACTAGATTGGAAGCACTTTTGGGACAGGTCTTATACTTCTTTGAACCTAGAACACAGTAGATAGCTAAAATAGCTAGCACTATACAAATACAGATTTCCTACTTTCAACATAAATTATCTTTACACGGTTAATCCAAAGATAGTATTTTCCATAATCAATGCATTTCTAGCAAGGCCAGAACTGATTACCCGTGTTCAGTGATTTGGGGCAACAGGGAGAAGGCATATTGATGCTATCTTATTAGCAGTAAAGTTTGTAGTTCAAAATCAATCATGTAACCTTTAAAATATGAATGCATATGTAACAACTGGAAAGTTCTTCCTGGTATCTTTGAGACAAATTATTTGAGGTAAGCCATAGTTATTTTCTCAAAGTCAAAAATCCCTCTAACAAACATCTCTTTTTATGCCAGGCACATTATAAGCACCCAACAGTGACTGAATAGATCACTCTCCCATAAATATTCTGCTCACCGATTTTTGCAAATTACAATTACCTGAAAAGAAACATCAAGATTTATACCCTTTTGCCAGTTCATTTAAAATATATTTGACATTTCTCAATTCTTTAAAAACTGTATCCTTTTTGTCATTCTCTGAAAATTTTAATTTGCATAGGTATCATTTCCAAGTAACTGAAGACTAAATGGACAAATCCAGGCACGGTATCAGTCCACTGTTCACTCCAACTACAGAGGTAATCAAATAGGATATTTTCCTGTTATTGGTTAATATGTCATTAGAAAATAACGTAGCCCGCGGACTAGGAACTGAGAAAGGCTAGAAACCTTAATGAATTATCTTTGCCAAAATCAGTTATTTTGAATAAGCAACAATATACACAAGAATATACAATCATTTGAGAAAACTATTGTTTATTTAGAAAAAAGGTTACACTGGTAGAATTCAGTAGATAAAAAAATTCTCTTTTAAAAATGTCACTGTGAAACTTTGCCAGACCAAAGTTCAGCAATACAAAGCTCCTATAGCTGTAGAATTAAAACAATTATCTTTTGATCCCCCCGCCCCAAGATTTGTCTAACATAATTACAAGAAAAAATGGCAAGGGACAAGTGAGTGCTGGTACCTTTTTCTTTTTTAAACAGGTTTTAATGTTGTACATGTACTATATAAAATGATTCCTAAGCATTTCATAAGACAATGCTCCCACTGTTTTTAGTGACTAAAGAATAAGCCAAATAATAAATTAAAACTGAGTTTTTAAATGAGGTCAAAATGGTTCAATAATTGTTTATTTTCAGTTTCAAACAATAAAGTGGAAGCATTTCAGAATGGAAATAAAAGCTGAACCCAGGCAGTATTTAGTTCATCTAAGGTAAAACTCTGTACACAGGTAACCTTATTTGTTTGTTGGAAACTGTATGCAGCACATTGTGCTAAAAATATGGAACAATTAACACTTTCAGCCATTACTGAAAATAAACATGTAGAAACTGAACAACAGGTGAAAATACAGAAATGCACAACTTAATTTTAAGTTTTCCACATGGAGCAATAAAGCAGATAACTGAATAATTTAAGGAGATGCAAATGGCCCTCTTCATTCTTAATTCTTGGCAATTTACTCAGGAAAATAAATTTCTGGTCACAGCTGAACACTCCAATCTCACCTGAAAGAAACAAAGTGATTATATTGATAGAGAAGAAAGAAGGAAGGAAAGGAGGGAGTAGGGGAGAGAGGGTTGGTCAAAGGAGGTAGTAGAAAAGGAAGGGAGAAGGAAGGAGGGAAGGACAATGAAAGGAGGAGGGAGGGAGGGGATAAAAAAGGAAGAAAGGGAGAAGGAAGGAAGAGGAAAAGGTAAGGAGGAGGAACATTTAATAAAGAAAGAAAAGTTAATGGGTTGCATCAGTAACAAAGACTTGAGTCCCCAGTAAAGGAGAAAATATTTGTGTTTCTCATTGTCCATTCTTAGAAACAATTAAAGATAAGCACACTAATGATGACTTAAAAAAAATTGAACACTGTGTGCATGTTGGAGAAGTGGGGGTAGGGAGAAAAAAATGGAACAACAAGTAAAACATTCCACAGAGGCAAGCAATAGCTTATCAAAAGTAAACAGAAAATACAGCAAAGAAAAGTACCTATTTTACATGATCAACAAAAAAAGAAAAATGACATCACATTTTTCACAAGGACACAATTTTAATAGTAACTTATATTAAGATGCAATGTCTGCTAAATTATAAAAATTGCTTTAAAAATATATTGACTCAATTATAATCATTTCCTTTCCTTTATGTATTGACATTTTTCAAATATTTCATATTGAAATAACTTCAAAACATGATTATTACAACATGTGGCAAATATCTTCACATCTGCCTTCAAATTTTAAACTAATGCTTAATGCATTAAACTTTATTGATGAAAATACTACATTCACATATTTCTTAAAACCAGGGCTAGAAGGGTCCTTAGAAAATCATCACACATGAAATGCTGACAAATAATTTACATATCATTTCTACACAGCATTCTGTTCACACCATGTATAATCTTGACATTATCAGTAACTGTGGATACATGATGAACTTAACAATAATTAAAAGCCATTGTTCCTGTCCATTAATTGATGAATGGATAAATAAAAAGTGATAAACATTCATACAATGAAACATCATTTAGCAATAAAAAGGAATGGAGTACTGATACATGCTATGACATGGATGAACCTTGAGAACATGATGCTAAGTGAAAGCCAAACACAAAGGCCACAGATTATTGCATGATTCCATTTAAATGAAGTGGCCAAAACAGGCAAAATCATAACGACAGAAAGCACATTATTGATTTCCAGGGGCTGGGGTAAGGAAGAATTGGGAGTGACTGCTCATAGGCATAGAGTTTCTTTTTAGGGTAATAGAAACGTTCTGGATACAGACAGCAGTGATCCTTGCACAACACAGTGGATATACTAAAAACCACTGAATAGTACACTTTAAAATGGCAAATCTGAGGCCAGGTGCAGTGGCTCACACCTGTAATCCCAGCACTTTGGGAGGCTGAGGCAGGTGGATTATGAGGCCAGGAGATCGAGACCATCCTGGCCAACATGGTGAAACCCCATCTCTATTAAAAATACAAAAATTAGCCAGGTGTGGTGGTGCAAGCCTGTAATCCCATCTACTTAGGAGGTTGAGACAGGAGAATTGCTTGAACCCAAGAGGCGGAGGCTGCAGTGAGCCAAGATCACGCCACTGCACTCCAGCCTTGGCGACAAGAACAAGACTGTTTCAAAAAAACAAAAAAAGGCAAATTTGATGTTACATGAAATTCATCTATATTGTTTAAATTACAAAAAAAAAAGTCAATGTTCCAATTAAGAGCATCATTATCACAGTATGGCCATAACTAGGAGAATAAGAAATGGGTTCTCAATCATGAAGATGTCACATTAGAAGAATTAATTGGCAAGGGAAATTTTGGTGACACATTTAAGGGAACATTAAAGGGAAAATTGCTGTTGCTGTTAAAACATGTAAAGAACATCCTTCCCAGGAAGTGAAATTAAAATGTTTACTAGAAGCCAAAATCCTCAAGCAATATTATCCTCCCAATATTGTCAACTGTATAGGAGTTCGCACACAAAGACGGCCTATCTACATAATTTAAGGAACTGGTTCCAGGAGGCGATTTCCTCTCCTTTCTGAGAAAGAAGAATGAACTAAAATTCAGTTAGTGAAATTTTCATTAGATGCTGCTTCTGGATGATGTATCTCAAGTAGAAATTGTACACACAGGGACCTTGCTGCAAGAAACTGCCTGGAGGTGAAAATAATGTTCTGAAAATCAGTGACTTTGGAATGTCTCGTCAAGAGGATGGTGGTGTGTATTCATCTTCTGACTTAAAGCAGATTCCCATTAAATGGACAGCACCAGAAGCTCTTAATTATGGGAGATATCGTTCTGAGAGTGACGCACGGAGCTTTGGCATCCTCCTCTGGGAGACTTTCAGCTTAGGGGGGGGTCTGTCCATAGCCTGGAATGACAAATCAGCAAGCTCAAGAGCAAGTGTAAAGAAGATACTGGATGTCAATCTCTTGGCAGTGTCCAGAGAGTATTTTAATAAAATAATGCTGAGGTGTTAGGATTACAAACTTGAAAACCGGCCCCAAATTTACTGAACTTCAGAAAGAGTTAGCTGCCATCAAGAGGAAAGTTGCACAGTGATGAAACAGTGCCAAACTCAGCCTTCAGGACCCTATTTTCAGCAGAGCAGTATTTTTCTTCTCATTAACATATATACCACATTACCTGCAACATTCTCAAGTGTTTTATTAGCTATTTTTAAAAAATATGTGCTGCTTTAACCATTGTAAGAAAGTATAAGTTCTAAATATAAAGGATCACACAGATCTATCTTTTTCACATCTAGGACTTTTGCTGTTTCTCAGAAACTTTCTAGTCCAGGCTTAGTTCACAGTCTGCTGTCCTCCATCACAGATACCTGTTGGTGCTATAAGCTGTACTGGTAATACCACATTTGTAGGACACATCACAGCAGAAAACAAGATAGCCTTCCTACTCTGCAGAGACAAGATTATATTTGTGAACATCGTTTTATACTGGTAATTATTTGGACCTTCTAAATTTGTCTTTTTCTTTTTTTTTTTTTTTTTTTTTTTTTTTCCGGCCAGAGATTGGCCAAAAATGATAGTAAGACTATCATTTCCCTGTGTTTCACCATGCCGTCCTATGCACAAAAATCCTCAAAGAGTTGAGGCAGCTGATTTTAACTGATATTATAGAGAGCTGTGACAGCAAGAATCAAGTTTGAAAAGAAAGGTGGTCTAGAGAAAAAGAACAGCTAGGGTGGTGATCAAAGTAGAGAAGAAAAGGCAAATATAAAATCAGTCTTATCAGAGGTATGCCTTTATAAAACACATACACACTTTTTAATTTTATGATCAAATTCACCAAAAAGGTCCTAAGAAATGTTTCAGTAGTTTACATAGATTCTTCATAAAAGAGCCCTTTTGATGGTAACCAAACAACTTTTAAACAAATATTTATAAGGAAGAAAGAAGTTATGAAGAGATAGACACAGGGACAGCCATCCTAAATCCACTTTACTCCTTCATTTACCCTTATACTGCAACCTAGGAATTCTTATAGCAAACACAGTTCTTAAGATGTTCCATGTAGATAAAATGTAACACAGAGTTAAAACGTGGATCCTGTTGAGCTGAATCCTAACTGCACCCAAGGATGCTTCTCAGGATAATTACATGTGTAGGGGAAAGACACACTCAGGGCAAATATAAGCCTTTTATAAGTGCTCATGCCTATGTTAAGATTTTTAAAAACACTATATAAATGAATATTTGCTCTACATTAAGTGGAAGAGCAAGGAAATAGAAAATTTCTCCTGCCCTCTTCAACTGTTTGGTGCCTATGAGTATCAGTGCACAAAACCTATACTCAGTACTTTTTTAAAAGTATAAAAGACGCTACTGAAGAGAAAAATGATTTTGTGTCTGTCATTTCAAGCTCCTAACAAGAGTCTAGTATACATTTAATGGTTATGACACACAGACCAAAACGAAAGCATATTAAATCTGCCCTCAAAATACATGCCACAGGATATAAAGCAAGCTCTTTTAATCAGTATGGGTTTCCCTTTATAAAATGGTGTGTTTGGTGGCAAAAAAGTCAATACAGAGATATTAAATGTTTCTCTGAAATCAGTGTGAACATTGATGAGTTCCGTATTCCTCACCCTATCCCAATACCTATCATCAACAAATAGGAATAAGCCTCAAAATGGCAATGCATTCCTAAAATAAGAAATCTTCAGGAGCTTAGGAGGTCAAGTATGAACTGAAGGGGGAAAAAAAAAGGCTTAGAGCTGGAATTATAAAATCAATTGTCGAAAGAGGCCAAGAATGTAATGAAAACAAAGGAAATGAGTTGAGTGGGGACTGACTGAGGTGAACTGTTTAAAAAAAGACCCTTGCTCTATTCTAAAGGGGGGCAGCGCCTAGACAAATCTAGCTGAAATCAGGACACGATGTTACCAGACGTTCCAATCCTTCAAGAGAAACTGAAATTTGGATTTTTGTCAATTCTGATTTTTAAAAGAAACAGATTTTTAAAAATTTTAAACATTGTGTGAGGTTAAGAAAGTGCATTTGGCTGGCCGTGGTAGCTCACATCTGTAATCCCACCACTTTGAGAGGCAGAGGCCAGAGGATTACTTGAGCCCATGAGTTCAATACCAGCCTGAGCAATATAGTGAGATCTCATCTCTACAAAAAATAAAAATAAAAGAGGTCGGCGCAGTGGCTCACACCTATAATTCCAGCATTTTTGGAGGCCAAGGAGGGCGGTTCACCGGAGGTCAGGAGTTTGAGACCAGCCTGGCCAACATGGCAAAACCCCATCATCTCTACTGAAAGTACAAAAAAATTAGCCAGGCATGGTGGCACATGCCTGTAATCCCAGCTATTTGAGAGGCTGAGGCATGAGAATTGCTTAAACCTGGGAAGCAGAGGTTGCAGTGAGCCAGATCACACCACTGCACTCCAGCCTGGGCAACAGAGCGAGACTCTGTCTGAAAAATAAAATAAGAAAGAACATTTAACAAGCCAAACATTCTGCCCAAGGGCTGACAATTTGCAACCTTGGATTTAGAGGATAAAAATTAAGTTAAACATGTGAGACTGGAAGGAATGGATCTGCAAAATATATGTAGCCTTCTTGGAATGGAGGATTAAAATAGAAATGTAGTAGATTAAATTACAGATTATAAGTAGTGCTAGCTACTAATGTTCTTTAAAATCAAAGCCCTACATCCAAATTAATAAAAAACAAGGAAATTTGAGCATCTCAAGGCCTGGGAGCAAATGGCAGCTTAGCATAGCATTTGATTCACAAAAGGACTTCCAAAAGTTTGCTGAACTCAACATCCCTGAGTTGAGGATCACGTATATCAAATAAAAATTGAGAAGCCAAAGGGTGGTTCTCAGAGGACAACTTTATAAACAGGAATTTTTTAAAAAAGTTAAAGGGAAAGGAACTAGTAATCTTCAAGAGACTAAATGAAGGAGAGGTAAGATGAATTTGGGCAAGGACTTTAAGGGCAACAGAAGATGCATACAAGGAACAGAGGTTTGTGACCAAAAATAGGAAACAACAGAAGATGACAGAAGACTGGAAGGAATTTAATTATGGTCAATTTATATACTGTATCTTCTTAATTGTTTTCTTAAGAGACAGAGTCTTGCTCTGTCACTCACGCTGGAGAGCAGTGGTATAATCATGGCTCACTGCAGCCTTGAACTCCTGCACTCAGGAAATCCTCCTGCCTCAGACTCCCGAGAAGCTGGGACAACAGCTGCATACTACCATGCCTGGCTAAGTTGCATATATATATTTTTGGTAGAAATGGGGTCTCGCTATGTTGCCCAGGCTGATCTCAAATTCCTGGCCTAAAGCAATCCTCCTGCCTCAGCCTCCTAGTGTTCGGATTACAGGCATGAGCAACCATGCTTGGCCTTGTACCTTAATTCTAATGTGATTATTTTAACGTTTGTGAAAATCAGGATGACACTTACAAATCAGTGTCATTTTTCAACCAACCCGTCTAAAAATAACTGTCCTAAAAACAATGATGAAATCTTACAAGTAATGACATCTTTCAATCATGGAAATATGACATATGTAGGAGCTCTCCTTTCTATAGAATAAATTAAAAGGTGAGTGGGGGAGGGCAGCAGATTTCAAAGTAGCCTGTAAATAGATGGTTCCAATCAGAAATGACAACATTCTAAAAGAAAAGGAAGAAAAACAGAACTGACCAACCCTGGAATGTATCGAAATAGAAAGTGGCAGTCAACAGCCAGAAAAAGAAACTATCAGCCAGGGATGGTGGCTCATCCCTATAATTCCAGCACATTAGGAGGCCAAGGTACGCAGACGGTTTGAGTCCAAGAGTTTCAGACCAGCCTGGGCAACATGCTAAAACCCCATCTCTATTTACAACATATTTTTTTAAAAGAAACTAACGGCCGGGCGCAGTGGCTCATGCCTGTAATGCCAGAACTTTGGGAGGCCAAGGATCACCTGAGGTCAGGAGTTCAAGACCAGCCTGGGCAAAAGGGCAAAACCCCATCTCTATAAAACATACAAAAATTAGCTGGACATAGTGGCGCGTGCCTATAGTCCCAGCTACTAGAGAGGCTGAGGCAGGAGAATCACTTGAACCCAGGAGGTGAAGGTTGTAGTAAGCCGAGATTATGCCACTGCACTCCAGCCTGGGTGGGAGAGCAAAACTCCATCTCAAAAAAAAAAGAGAGAAAAAGGCCAGGCACAATGGCTCATGGATATAATCCCAGCACTTTGGGAGGCCAAGGTGGGCTGATCACAAGGTCAAGGCATCAAGACCATCCTGGCCAACATGGTGAAACTCCATCTCTACTAAAAATACAAAAACAATTAGCTGGGCGTGGTGTTGCACACCTGTATTCCCAGCTACTCAGGTAGCTGAGGCAGAATTGCTTGAATCCAGGAGGCGGGGACTGTAGTGAGCTGAGATCGTGCCACTGCACTCCAGCTTGGGCGACAGTGCAAGACTCTGTCTCAAAACAAACAAACAAACAAAAACAAAACAAAAAACTATCAGCCAGACGGCCCAGCACAGTGGCTCACATCTGTAATCCCAGCACGTTGGGAGGCCAAGTCAGGCAGATCACCTGAGGTTAGGGGTTCAAGACTAGCCTGGCCAACATGGTGAAACCCCAGCTCTACTAAAAATACAAAAATTAGCCAGGCATGGTGTTGCATGCCTATAATCCCAGCTACTCGGGAGGCTGAGGCAGGAGAATCTCTTAAACCCGGAAGGCAGAGGTTGTAGTGAGCCGAGATCGCGCCATTACAATCCAGCCTGGGCAAAAGAGCGAGACTTCCTTGTCTCAAAAGAAAGAAACAAAGAAACATCAACCAGAGTCTCATAAAAATTAACAGTCTATCCAAGAAGAAAGTATTGTACAAAGCTGTCAATGAGGAATTCAACAGGATGGACATCCAGCTAGATGTACTTTTAAAAGGACCTCTGAATCTAGAAGCTTTGCTGTAAGACCACCAGACAAATATCTAACCCTGGCCAGTCTTGTCATTCCTTTGTTCCTAAGAGATTATAAAGAGAGGTAAAATACAAATTCATGGTCAATGTAAGAAAACCTCAAAACCGTAGCATAACCTTCATACACAAAATAATAATATTTAGGTACTGAGTAAAGAGAGATATATAAAATCACTGTGAAAGTTGTCAGTGACAATGGCTGGCTAATTCCTAATGCAGATATGAGAGGTAGGCTTTTTGTTATTAAAAGATAGGGAGACCACACGTGACAGCAAAATGCCAGGTTAAAAGAAAGGTTAAGATGAGGATTAAGAGTTTATGGTTCATCAGAGAAGATAGTTGTCAAGGTTGGAATGGGGGTAGGAACAGCTAGAATTGAAGAATTAGCAATAATATTTCCTTTTAAATTCTAAATGTTCTTTAATAACTTATTTGCCCTACTCTACTTTTGTAACAAGCACCGAAAAAGCAGGAAAAGCACACCATTCATCAGGTGTTGACTATATGACAACCTCTCAAATCTCTGCTTTGCAGCCAAAATAAAGATGAGGAAATCCATACCCTTATACAGAACTGGCTTTCAGACATCTCTCGCTTATAATTTAAACACTGGTAAATATCCTTGGTTATCTATCTGGTCTGGTAAAAGATTAGAAGCACCCAATAATATTAGGGGAAGGTATATACAAGCAAGTATAGTTAATATATGAAATGATGGCTAACATGGAAGGAAGAAAATGGGCCATTAAAAAAAGCAGAGATAGTAGCTTCAAAATACAGCTGTTTGGAACCATTACATGTAGGGGGCAAATTGTCCCAGGTACTTCAATAATACTAAGGCATCACCAAACAGTAACAGTAAAGTATTCAGACTATCATACGTGCTCAAAAAAGGAAATATTAGGGTCTGAAAACTGCACCCACCATAATGGAAACACTATTTAAAATGGGTAAAATACTTTTTAAGTCTCACATAAAGCATAAGTGCATTACCTTAAAAAAAAAAAAAAGTTACACATTGTAAATTCCAGAACTAAAAACACAAACCATATTTTCCGGCTCTGTAAAACATGGGCAGTGGCAGAAAAAATGGCACACACACAAAAAGTCTTTGGATAACACATCAGCATGAGAAAGCAAAAGGAAGAGAGAACACTAAAGGATAGAAAGACCAAGGTTTGAGTGTGGGCTCTGTTGACTAATATCTCTACGACCCTCTTCAACTTAACCTCTCAGAGTCTGTTTCTTCACCTATAAAATGCAGATATCATCACCAACATTTACAAGGCTATAAGGACTTTAGCCACATAATTAACTATCCAGAGAAGATGGGAATGAGTGAAGAGAAAGCCAGATGTTCTTAAATATATCTTGGTGCTTAAAAAAAAATGTGTGGCTAATCAGCAAGCTTAAAACGAAAACAGCTTAAAAATAACTCTGAATCTTGTTTTGCATCTATACCCAAAGACTTGGTCATTATATTTAAGTGAAAAAAAAATCAAGTAGTTGTAGCATGTAAAATGCATCTAGTTTTTTCAACATTATCAGACTTCATTTTATGTTTTTATCATTAAATGAAAAGGTGGTGAGAGAATACTCACCTTGATTGAAAGTCTTCATTATCTGTGCTTGTCCGAGGACTTATGAGTAGATGACAAATTAAGGGAAAACAACTTTTGGGAGTGGCAGAAAGAACAGCATCTCACCTTTTAGTACAGCACCTCAGCTTGCAGGCCTAAATGGCTCTGACCAGCCTGGTAGCCTCAAACTCTACCAGCTCTGCTTGTCAGCCTCATCATTTTGCCCTTCTATTCCCAGTGTATCCAGCCCTAGGGACTCTCTGTTCCCTTTCTTCGTCTCTGTGATAATATAACCCAAAAGACTATAAATCCCTTAGTGGCATAAAACATCTCAGTCACCACAGAGGTATTTTTAAAAATCAAGAACATCAAGTATCTCACTTCCAGATTTCACACATTTTGAGAGAGTTAACTGGGAAGAGCATTTCAAAACCAGACTTTAAGTATTTAAACCACATACTACACGGGTACAACTGTAAACATGACCAGTATCAAAGCTTTCCATTATACTGACTAAAAACATCAAGATGAAAAGGATATTGTTTCTTCTCTTCCTTTCCTCCTGAACTGTCCCGTTTCTCTTTCTTTTCTATCTTTTCTTTATCATGCCTGGACTCCTATAAGAAATGGTAGAATTAGCTGGGGAAGAGAAAATCAAATATAAAAGACAGCTCAAAACCCTTTTTCATCAACCGCCAGCAATAATTCGTCTTCAAAAACTTACTTAATATGACAACAAAAGCATAAGCAACAAAAGGAAAACAATAGATACACTGAACTTCACCAAAAGTAAAAACATTCGTGCATCAAAGAACACTATCAAGAAAGTGAAAAGACAACTGACAGAACTGGAGAAAATATTTGCAAATCACATATCTCATAAAGATCTAGTATCCGAAATATATAAAGAACTCTTACAACTGAGCAACACAAACCCTCCAAATAAAAAATGGTCAAAGCATCTCAACAGATTTCTTGAAATGGCCAATAAGCACATGAAAAGACGGTCAACGTCATTAGATATTAAGAAAACGCAAATCAAAACCACAATGAGATATCACTTCACATTTACTGGAATGGCTACAATAAAAAAACAAAAACAGAAAATAACCAGTGTTGACAAGGATATAGAGAAATTTGCACGCTGACACTTTGTTGGTAGAAATGTAAACTGTACAGCCACTGTGGAAAAGAGTTTGGTGGTTCCTCGAAAAGTTAAACATAGAATTACCATATAACCCAGAAATTCCATTCTTGGGCACATATCTAAGATGATTAAAAATAGGTGTTTGAACAAATATTTATAGCCGCACAAAAATGTTCACAGCAGCACTATTCACAATAGCCAAAATGTGCAAACAACTCTGAAGTCCATCAACTGGCAAATGGATAAATAAATATGGTATATTCACATAATAAAATACTACTTAGCTATAAAAAGAAATGAAGTAAATGATGCATGCTACAGCACGGAAGAACTTCAAAAACATTACACTAAGACATCAGACACAAAAGGCCACATTATTGTACTATTTCATTTATATGAAATATTCGAAATAAGTAAATCCATAAAGAAACAAATTTATCATTCCCAGAGGCTGAGGAGAAGGGGAAATGGGAGTGACTGTTTAAATGGACATAGAGTTTTCTCTTGGAGGTGATAAAAATGTTTTGGAACTACACAGAGACGATTACACAACACTGTAAATATACTCAATGTCACTTAAATGTACACCTTTAAAATGGTTAATTTTGTTATTTGAATTTTACCTCAATTAAAAAACACGTAAAAGAACAGCCTATCTTTTAAAGCATAGAATTAAAATGTTCATATAATTTTCTAAAGGTGCTTTTATAAACTATGAATATATGGCATATACTTTGAATATATATAACAATGTTTTGTAAACAATTTATACTGTAGTAATGGCTTGCTTATTACCTTATGACAGATGCATGAGATTCATTTTAAATATCAACCATTAATTCGTAAGAGAATGTACCTTAGATTTAATTTTTAAATCAAATACAAGTTTCAAACAAATCAGTATATTAGGAGAAAATGTTGCAAAAATGTTTCAAATCACAATCAAGACTTTATGACACTATGATGGTCAGAAAGAATACATGTGACCATATTTTAATTTCAGAAATAAAAAGAAACTAAAAGCAAAGAGTTGGTGGAGAAAAAAGAAAAGGCAAAGAACAGCTGAAACTCAGTCAACGGAAGTAGGTGGGAGTGGAATGGAGAGGGGAAAGGAATCTCAGAAGTATATTAGCTCTACCCTCCTAGTAATCTGGGAAAGAACTGACTCAAATTTCCCAAATAGATAACCTGCCCTCCCTTAATACCTCTTCTTCCCACCCCTAAATAATGAACAAAAGACTATATGACTAGGAAAAAAATTCAGTATTTGCTAAATTTTCAGAGTTGATTTTTTTTTTTAAGATAAAGCATATTATTCCTTTATTTTCCTAATTTACCTTTTTGCCACCGGAGGAGATTTTATCCATCTTCTCAGATTTAAATGAATCACTGCCTTTTTCTTTGCCTGAAGATTTTGACTTATTTTTTTCCTTATCTTTTTCATTTGGATAAGGAGATTCACATGGACTTTCACTTTTATGTTTTGAAACCCCCACTAAAATTACAAAAGAAAGTCATGAAAGCCTTTTCCAATTCACTTTGATGATAGCTTCAAAGATATTAATAAGTCTACCTACTTGTTCCATTCTCTTCTTTACGTCTCTTGGTTAAGTCCGGTGGCACTTCACGGTCATTGTTTGAGTGATCCTAGAACCAAGAATTGTGAACTACATTGACCAAGGGCTTACGTTTTTGTTTTAAAGTATTATTTTTATATGAGAAGGGCACAGCTAACTAGCAATGGAGAATATTTGCAGCAGTATCACACACTAGATAAAATGGCATGAAAGACAAGCAGAGCTGGTAGAGATTACTAGGCTGAAGATCCTTATTAATGTAGAAGATGCAAAGACTTCAGGGTAAAAATATCAATAAAATCATGAACTAACAGACTACTATGAAACAACCCAGTATTTTTTAAAAGGCAACATACACACTGGTGTACATGATAATGAGCTTTCCAAACTAGTTTAAAAAAAATTACAAACCCTTTTCCGCTCTTTCCTGTCCTTTTCATCTTTTTTCTCTCTCTCTCTGGATCTTTCCCTTGACTTGTCCAAATCTTTCTTGTCCATTTCTCTCTCCTTACTCTTGGACAGTGGTGGAGGAGTATGATTAATGTAGAGCTGTTAAATTAAGGCAATATTACTGAAGATTATTAGTTTTCCAACATTAGCATCATTTGTTTATTAAATGAAACACAATTGGGAATTATACCCAGAGTCAAAACTGGTCAGCTATCTGGATTATAAGAGGTAAAATAAAAGGACATGGCACAAATTATACAAAGTTGCAATTCTTGGCCTCATAAAAATTACCATTTAAACTCCAGTTCATCTGTGCCTCAACTGAGACTCATTAGTAAATTCATAAGCTAGAGGATTCCTTATAGCTCTATTGTAAAGACCTATAACCACCATTACAAGAGTCCATATATGAAAAATAGTAACTGGACTTTCTCTGTTAAAAACAAAAAAAATCTCCACACCATCATGGAAATTTTAAATAGTCTTACCATCCACTGACAGCAGTCAATAATGACAATGGGCAAAAGTATAACAATAAAACCTAGCCCTGATTTTGCTAATAATTCTTTTCTGCCTCAGTATGAACCATGCAAAGATTATCCTAAATTATTTTTTACAAATGTAAAAGCTGCATGTTCTCTACTTCTGAAAGCATTCCAATTTCTATCAAAATAATCACAATTAACTGTGAAATTTGTCTTCCTGGTTCTAAATACCTCAGAAAACCATCTAGTCAGCTGAGGATCATTAAACAATTCAAAAGACTAAAAAATAATGAACTAATATTCTCCTCTGCCTATTCTTTCTCTGCCAAAAGTGCTATAGGCAAAACAGCAAAATATCAAGGATATTCTAACTAAATAATTGAGAGATAACTCTTCTTAGGTGAGTTGTAAATATGGAACTATGCTGTAAAATAAAATATTTAGGAAGTAGTCAGGAAATAGATACCTAACCTTAATGGCATTTATAACTGTGCTACAAGCCTATGTTTAAAACATTAAAAGTATTATGCAGCAAAACACTGAATATAACTCATTACATAACTACACAATGCTAGATATACCTTAGGAACAAATTTTTCAAAACTCAAATATTTTACATGAAGAAATCCTTTGGTATTCAAAGGAATACATGAAAAAAGAAGACCATCGGTTTGAGAATTAAATACTTATTTTTTAACACCAAACACTTTCAATTCACTTGGCTCAGAAATACTGCCATAGCAATGCAGAAGTAGACTCTTTAAAATTTCAATGTTTAAAAGTTGACAAAGTAAAACAGACAAAACGCTTATTAATAACAAAGAGCAAGAGAATGATAAATAGTCATAAAAGTACTTGTCTAAAAGATACTCTTGCTGGCTATGTCTTAAATGACACTTCAAGAATTTTTCTAATTGTGAGATTTATTCATATCTTAATATTATTTATGATTAAGACAAAGGAAATCATATATTACTGCAATACTCAAGACTTCTCTAAGAGAAGTATTAATTTTTGCCAATAAAAGTAAAAAAAAAGGTTTGTGATCATAAATCCATACATACACACACACAACCATTGTTAATAATGAAGTTTTGAACTTTTTGTACTGCGAGAAATTGAGAAATTTTTCTAGAACTTACTTCTGGCATTAATGTTCAAATACTTCATTCTTGACATAAGAAGTCACATAGCTCAACTGATACACAATCAGAAATTCTTAGTTCAGAATGTACCCAATTCAATTCCTTCTTCAGAATATTTCTGATAATACTCTTTTATATAAAACATACAATTTCTCATTGCCTAATGAATTAGATGCATACAGTAACCCAATGCATTCTATGCTGTGGCTATCACTGCTCCCTAACATCTGTCCTTTCCAGCAGTTCTCATTACTAGAATGGTTGTTTATTTTTATCTTAACTTCTTGAAATCCTACTTAGCCTTCAAAGATGGCTCAAAGTCAACCATCCCTCAACCCTGCAACTCACTTTCCATTATTTTATATTTACCTTTTTCATGACGGGTGCTACCTATTAACTTCATGTCACAATTTTTGTCTGCAACATAGTTTCCAGTATGGTAGGAGAGCTAAGGTGCCCTTCCACTTTTACATACTTCCTGATACCTTGTACACACAGTGAGGGACTCAAGTTTGCCAAATAAAATTAAGGATTCATTAAATGAATTTGCATGTAGAATTGCTGGGTTTTGTTCTTGACTGGCTTTTATTCTTGACATTGGGATCATTAAGGTCCAAAAAAGAATTTGACTGATTTTCAAAATCTGCTTTAGAAAACACTGCTCCATTGATTTTATTAAAGCTTCACCATATTATATAAAGAGAGTCTCACTTTTAAGCTTGGGTTTGGTTATAAATCCTCATTTTAAGATGTTGAACAAATTAAAGGCTAGATTCTGTCTTGAGGTGGTTACTGATGCCCTCTTAAATTACAGAGAGGTTGATTAGTAGAACAAGTACTTTTTTAACATTTTCTTCATCAAATGTAGCTGGCATTTAGAATTGCTACATCAAAACTCAATTGATCAAAACTAGAAATACACTATTTGGAAATTAGGGGCAAAGAGTGAACTGACAGAAAAGATTTAGATACTAAGCCAGATTTTTTCTTCTTTCAGCTAATCTCATCTGAAAACCTAAATCCGTGTATTGCTTTTACCACAAATTAGAAAGTAAAAATAGCCGGGCGCGGTGGCTCAAGCCTGTAATCCCAGCACTTTGGGAGGCTGAGGCGGGTGGATCACGAGGTCAAGAGATCGAGACCATCCTGGTCAACATGGTGAAACCCTGTCTCTACTAAAAATACAAAAAAATTAGCTGGGCCTGGTGGCGCATGCCTGTAATCCCAGCTACTCGGGAGGCTGAGGCAGGAGAATTGCCTGAACCCAGGAGGCGGAGGCTGCGGTGAGCCAAGATCGCGCCATTGCACTCCAGCCTGGGTAACAAGAGCGAAACTCCGTCTCAAAAAAAAAAAAAAGAAAGTAAAAATAGCAAATAAATAATAGAGAGAATTACACAGACAAAGAACAACTAAAAAGTAAAACTAAAGCAGGGAGAGAATTTTATACATACAAGTGATAAGATAATTATGAAAATAGATGCGAATCTTCCAAACCCTCTAGAAAAAGCTGCCCCAGAAACAGTGAGGCTATAGATAATCAATTTTGGAGATCACTCAAAGTCCAGTGAAATTTTTTTCTAAGGCATTCATATGCTATTAAACTTTCTAGATACATAAAAATGCAACATCAGTTACTATGCAAACCAGTACTTTGCATGCTTTACCAAAGTATAAAGACTTAAGAGATCATTTCAAATATTTATTGAATACCTAATCTTACTGCCAAGTACTATGCTAAATACTAAGGATCTGAAAAGTAGTAGGAGGCACATAATTTTTAGAAGCATATGTATATGCCATTTTCAATTTTTTCTGGTTACATGTGGAATAAATCTATTAAATTCTAAATGCCCACAAAACACCACTTTTAAAAAGGGGGATGTGGGAGATTGACTTGAATCGCTATTAATTTTTAAAAACCAAGGCAAACACACTAAAGGAGCTACAAAAACCCTTTCAACTATTATTGAAATCAGTGGTGCTAGGAATCAATGAATCTCAATTTTAGTTCATGTTTTGATACTAACAAGATGTTAACTAGGAAAGCTAAAGACCTTTTAGTCTCTCATTTGTCAAAAAGACGTTATCCACCTGCCACGTCTACCTCACAGCACTGTTATGAGCAAGCAATGAGACAGTACATATTTTCAAAAGACCTTTTCACAAATGTGAGGAACCATCACCGATTAGAAAATCCAATTAAACAGCAGGGTACAAAATGCTTCAAAGTATGTTTCAGTAAATAAATATTCACAAGTTAACACTGTTGGCCCGTTAATTTAAAATAGCCCACACAACCCACTGATGGTTAAGACTAACATAAGCAAATCAAAACCGGTTTTAAAAACCTACTATATTGCAATATATATTTAAGTTAGCCGATAAAAAGTTTACTTTAAATGAAAGTTCTATAGATTTCAAAATTGAAATATAAATTAAGCTTTCCAAAACTAACCTAAATAGGAACATCATTTTAAATAATAATCCCACGTAATAAAAAACAGCAGTATATAATTCCAACCTGATATCAACATTTTTGTAACTCCTACTAGGTACTGAAAACTCTCATTCTTATTGTGACATTATGGCTAACACCAAAAAACAAAAACACGTTGAATGTTTAGAATTTTCAAAAATAGTATTAAGCTGATGTGTCTAATGTGTTATTTTGGATTGTTCTTCAGTAGCATATTTCAGAATAATCCCAATATCTACTTCAAATAAAACATCCATTCAAATCAGAAAAAAAATAAAAGTAAATGGAAGTTATCCCAGTATAGCTGAGACTTGATTAATACAGTATATTCTAAAAACAATGCTACAATTTTAGGATGCAGGTACACTGACTAATATAAACTGCTAAAAATTAGTGCTTATTTACCTAATACCCACAGACATTTCATCATAAATCTATAGATCTAAAAGCAGTTAGTAATGTCACTTGGTCCACCAGTAAAGAAATCATGCTTAGCAGATTTCTATTTTAATTATGGTAAGCAATATTTATGCTGAAAAATAGGCTCCATTCTGCTAAGCAGATTTCATTTGCTTGTAGCTTGTAAGAGGAGGCAAAGTAGAAAATTCAAAGGACTACATTTTATAACAAAGACAAAACAACATGAACAATGGACAACTCAACTATAATACTGTAATAAACTCTGTAGTAAGATACACAAACTGCACACTATTTTTAATAGAATACTCAAGAAAGTAGACTAACAGATAAGAATTAATACTGACATGTAAACACAACCACCGAGTATTCCCCTCCATGGAAATGATTATTTCACATTAACTGTATCTTCTGATATTGTGCTACAACTACCAGAAAGGTACCTCAGCAAAGGATACATAAAGAATTTTTATGGACTGAGATGAGGTCCATTTTTAAAACAGATATGTGAATGCACTGAACTTATTTTTTGGTATTTTGGGTTGTCTAAAACAGTCAGAAAGCCTGGCAGATTTGTTTTGAAAAATTAAATAAACCCAAACAAACCAATAACCTCTTTCCCTGAATGTTAAACTTATTTCCAGATTTTGACGCATAAAGGGAGAATGTGTAACACAGCAAGCAAGGAGAGATGATAGAAATGTTGGTACATTACATATATTTTGTAACAATCTCATTAAAAGGGACCATTGTCATCTGTTGTTTCAGTTTTAACATTTAATATTTTTGAAGGTTATTCAATGTAAGCAGAGTACTTTTTCCCACTGATCTCAGCTTACTGAATGTACTAGAGTGAGGGCATCTATTAAGTAAAATAAGTAAAGAACATTTGGTTTACTTAGGCATGATGATTTTAAAAGACTCAAACCTTTGCTGAAGATTCCTTGAGTTCGATGAGACTGTCCTGTAGAAAATGAATGGAGATGACAGGTGAGCTGGCATAGTTCTCAGAACCCAGAGGAACTTTGGGAAGTATGGCTGTAACCTGGAAATAAACCAGCTACTTCTTGTGAGGATAAATTTCATGATGTCATCATCAATATGAATATCAACAATAAAAACAAAAACAAAACCATGTAATGGAATTGTAATGTTAAAAAACTAAATTAAAAGTACTCAATGTAAGAAATAAACATCATTCCCTGTTCAGAATTTTAAAATAAATGTTAATGCCACATTTTTCATATCTCTCTACTTAAGCTATAGATAACTTAAGAGGTTTAAGAAAGCAAAACATTTTTTTCTTCACAAAAAATTTAAAATACTGGAGGTCACTGTGGAAGAACATTGCCTTATATTTTTTATAGTTCTTCTTTAATGGGGAGGTTTCACATTTTACTTTACTTTTAACTCTAATATAAATATACATATTTTTTAAATCTTAGCTGGAAAACTCAGTGGCATTGCATTAACAAGAAAACAAAATATATAAGAGTAATCACTTTTTTTTTTTTTTTTTTGCAAAGTGCCTATCATGGTGAATCTCACACCTCCTACACACACACAAAAAAAAAAGCATTAAAAGAAAAAGAAAGAAAAAGAAATCAACTACAATATTCCACCACAGTGCTTTCATGAAGAATTAGTAACTTACAGTTTTTAAAAAGTTCAACGTACTGCAAATTCAAAGATTCCATGAAATTAGATGACTTTAGAATTAAAATTAAATGTGGAGCAAGGAATGGCTACCCTGAGTCTTCAAGAAGGCTACACCCACGATTTTGTGCTGCAGTTGAATGCCTGGGGTTTCTCTTTGCTGGGTGGTAGGATTGGATGCCACATCTGCTTTTATCGTAACGGAAGGTTCAACTTGTTGGGAACCCAATAAGGGTATAAACAAACCTCCAAGGGAAGATACAACAGAAGTTGCATGCTCACAGAATATACACAACTACAGGAGAACTGATCACCAAGGAGACTTTAAAATGGAACTCCTTTCAAGACTCCTTCTTAGAAGGCACATATCGGTATGATGCTCATCAAGAAGCTTGAATTCAGAGGTAACTTGTTTATCCTGTATCATCCAGGAAGTCTTCAGTGCTATATATTCTTCAATATGCTGAAAAATAGGCTTCATTCTGCTGAAAAGATTTCTTTGCTTGTAGCTACCATTGCACTCCAAAAAAGACTGCGTAAAGCAGCTGAGGCACTTCTGGGTAAAATTTCTCTTGCACTTTGAAACACTACAAAATTAGTGCCAAGTCCTTGAAGTTTGAACATTTTTATAATAAAAATAATAGGAAAAAAAATCAGTCCACCAATATAGAAAAATTCATTTTCTAATGCAATATAAAACCTCCAGTGGCTCCAGTGAATGCTTGGCATAAGACTTGAAGGAAGTCAGGACACTGGTATTCCAAACAGGTGAGCCTAACATGGACGCTGCCTTCCTCAGGCTATACTAACCTTTACTGTGGAGGAATGCGATGGAGAAGGGTGAGTATCAATTTTGCGGCGTTTTTGTTCTGTTAAGACAAAAAGAAATAGCCAGAATAAGGTATATTTTTAGTTTCCTAAACACTTAAAAAAAAAAAAAATACCAACTTGTCAGGCAATCAAGTTCCCCTAGCAAAATCCCTATGTAACCTACCAAAACTAGGAGACAGTAACCAACTATACATTAAAATAACAAAAGGTAAGCACATAGAAAGAATGGTAAACTTGCCCCTTTCAGGCTCTGGAATATCTGATCGGGGAACAGGTGACTTCAAGGACCCAGATACTGGCGTTTTTTCTCCTCCTTTAACATTTTCCTTTGATTTCATTTCCTTTGCTATATCTCTCTCTCTGGATGGCTCCTTCTCTCTTTCCCTTTCTTGACTTGATTTTGATTCTGCATTGGGGACAGTGGTCTTGAATTTCTCATCTTTAACTTTTTCTTCCTTCTTGAATTTTTCTTTTTCTTTGTCAGACTTTGGCGTTCTTTCCTTGGTTTCTCTTGCTTTTTCATCTTTATTTGGCCGCTCCTCCTTTGGTTTTTCTTTACCATCTTTACCAAGTACCCTGGCCTCTGGAGTAGTAGCTGGAGTCTTTTCTTTTTTCTCTTTTTCCTTCTCTTTCCCTTTTTCTTTGTCATTTTCTTTAACAGCTTTGTTGCTTAAAAATAAAAACATGGGATTTTAAGACAAATAATCAAAAAATATATCCCCTGTCTGATATATGATAAAATATATCATAAAGCGTTTCTTACTAACTTCAAAAATACTAGAACTAAGGTGGTGTCCTTTGAAAACTAAAGGACAACTTTAAGACAAGTAAAAAGGAAGAAACAATGGCCAGGTGGAGTGGCTCACGCCTGTAATCCCAGAACTTTGGGAGGCCGAGGAGGGTGGATCACTTGAGGTCAGTAGTTTGAGACCAGCCTGGCCAACATGGTAAAACCCCGTCTCTACCAAAAATAGAAAAAAATCAGCTGGGCATGGTAGCACACGCCTGCAATCCCAGCTACTCTGGAGGATGAGGCACAAAAATCGCTTGAACCTAGGAGGCAGAGGTTGCAGGGAACCAAGATCATGCCACTGTACTCCATCCTGGGTGACAGAACAAGACTCCAACTCAAAAAAAAAGGAACTATTTCTTTATCCAGTAAATAATAAACAAATTCATGAATTGCAGATTAAGAAGAATTATTAGCCAGGCACGGTGGCTCACGCCCAGCACTTTAGGAAGCCAAGGCAGGCAGATCACATGAGGCCAGGAGTCTGAAACCAGCCTGGTCAACATGGCGAAACCCTATCTCTACTAAAAACACCAAAAAAATTAGCCAGGTGTGGTAGTACATGCTTGTAGCTTGTAATCCCAGCTACCAGGGAGGCTGAGGCACAAGAATAGCTTGAACCCAGGAGACGGAGGTTGCAGTGAACCAAGATTATGCCACTGTACTCCAGCCTGGGTGATCGAAAGAGACTCTGCCTCAAAAAAAAAAAAAGGAAATTATTATTAAAATAATGTCAGGCTCTTTTTGGCATATATTCATAACCTATCAGAATAACATGGTAAAAACCAAATATATACCTCACAAACCAAGCAAGGGAAATACTATGAGGAAACGGATTACTTAGCTGGATGGAGCACTACTTAAATTAGTGTAGGCTTTTCTTATGCCTGTCCTTACTCAGATTGTTCACAGCAATCACTCTATCCTAAAATATTTTTTTAACTTCACATCTACATTCCCCTGCATATCCCAGCAGGAGAAACAAAGTTGTTATACAAAGCATAACGATATAAAACATAATTAGGATGTAAAGCATATCAGCAAAATAGGGTAAAAAGAAAATTTCAAAGTCCAACATAAATGACTTTTCACATTACTCAACAACCACTCCCCTTCTACTCATGAGGATCCACATAAGAAATCAGAATTATGAGGGCCAGGCGCAGTGGCTCATGCCTCTAATCCCAGCAGTGTTGAAAGCCAAGGCAGGCAGATTGCTTGAGGCCAGAAGTTCGAGATAAGCCTAGGCAACATAGCAAGACCCTCGTCTCAAAAAAAAAAAAAAAAAATACATAAAAATCATTTTAAAAAAGAATTTAGAATTATGACACATGGCACAGTGTTCCTACCTGTTAGAGCCACTATTTCCATTGCTTGAATTCCCTTTAGGTGTGGTACTAGAAGCTTTATTAACAGCTTTCACACCACACTGAGATCTCTCCCTTGATTTATCTGAAATAAAAGTAAGGTTTTATTTAATGAGCCCCTAGATGTAAATGAACTACAATTTCACAGCAAAATGATTAGAGAATAATTAGAAAGAAGCAGCAGGCTTATTACTTCTTAACACTTATATACTCCTATCTAGGGAATAAAAAGTAATACTAAGCCAGCACTGTACTTGTTCTGTGATACAAAACATTTCACTTTGTTTGTTGAAATTAAATATATTAGTTATAAGCTTCTACAAGTAAGCATACCAGTCTCCTCAGTACTGCTTTCATCCGATTTAGATGTACTTCCTATTGATGATGAAGAAGGCCCACCACCAGGCCCATTTTGCACACTGGCAACTGCATTCCTCGGAGGGGGGTCTTTGTGATGAAACTCATTTTCAGGTATCATGTATGACTTTCTACTTTTCAACTGCCCAGAGTAGCTGAAAGTCGCACAAAGTGTTTAAATATACAAACACAAATCAAAAAACACAAACATGAGGTTTTTAAGAATAAAATTAGCAAGTTACTCATTCTACTCTGTGGTTCTAGAGAATTTTAAAAATGCTAATTTTTAGTAAGTTCTTGAAGGTTTTTATAGAATGCCCAACTCTCTTAAAAATAACAATTTCACTATAAACTAATCCTAAAACTAAGACGGCTTTTTTCTTTTATTCTTGAAGATCTGGTAACTACGATAATAAAATTATATTTCCTCCCAATCAAGAAATATTATATATGAATTTTGAAACTATCATCCAGTATAGACCGGAAGTTGATAATCAGAAGTGGTAACTCTCACCAGCCTGTGGGAACATGATCGCATAATCTCCCATAATCTCCTGAAGGCAGAAGATAAACTTCAACACTGTAAAACATTTTAAAGTCTTCAGAATTCTTCTGTCATCTAGTCTTGTAAATCACATTAAAATATAATTTTGTTACCCCATAGCCAATGCATATAGATCTGGCCTCTTCTCTTTTTCTTCTTGGCAGATTTTGTGTACTCTTCTTTCCAAAGCTTGACCCAGATTCAAAACTTTTGGGTACCAAGGAAGTATTTTTGTTAGCACAATCAAGATATTCCGGATGTGAGTATATTCACCTGTTTCAAGGCAATGTACCGATGCCTACAACAAACATTTTAAGATTCATTATTATACAAGTATAAAGAGAAAAATTTACCTTTGAAAATTTCAATTTTTTTTTTACCTTGGTTAGTTTATAATGCCATTTATGTACAACATGTCGAAAATTTTCATAGTCTAATTGATCAGCCTTATTTCCACCATCAAATCCAGTTGCCCGTAATATGGTAAGGAATCCTGGATAGTTTCCACATTCCTAAGGAAACAATGTTTGTCATGTTTAAAGAAAAATTGTGATCCACAAAATAGCAGAAACTGAAACTTAAGTAGACTAGATCAATGTTTCCACATAAAACCATCATGTGTATTTGGACAGTCATAAAAAGTTCAACTTATATAAAGATATTAATTTGGAATGTCAGTTTGAGATAGAATAAAAAAGTATACAGCACTTTTTAATAATGAATTAATTGTGCTTATAAACATGGTTTTACAACTGAATCTTAAACTCAGCTCCTCGTGTAAAACTCAACAATCTAGACCAGGCATCCCCAAACTTTTTACACAGGGGGCCAGTTCACTGTCCCTCAGACCGTTGGAGGGCCGCCACATACTGTGCTCCTCTCACTGACCACCAATGAAAGAGGTGCCCCTTCCTGAAGTGCAGCGGGGAGCCAGATAAATGGCCTCAGGGGGCCGCATGCAGCCTGCAGGCCGTAGTTTGGGGACGCCTGATCTAGACATTACTGGATGTAGTCATTATATACACAGGTAAAATATAAGGGTTTCTATTAGTGATACCTTTTCATATGTGGCTCTATCGCTATGCCACCTGGTCACAGTCTCTAACATGCAGCAAAGAAACCTCCCGTATCGACTGGCTTCATTTTCTGTACAGCTTGCAACCGTGTAAATTATGTCAGAGAAAACCTACAGGAAAAAATGTTTTAAAAATATAAACAAATCAAGGTCAAAATCAGTTGAAAATATTAGAAGATTCTCTTAGAGCAAGTCATAATAAACAGGTAAGCTTAGTCAAAAATGTATATTCCCTTTACATACTGACACTCCAGAGACCTTTGGAGATTTTGGCTTTTGTGGGGAAATAGTGCACTCATAAAGCAAATACCCAAGACAATAATTTTTATAAAGAAAGCTGATTTGACAGAAAAAAAAACTATCATTATTATTATATAATAGTTCTTAATGACTTAGCCACACATATGACTGGGTTTATGGGGAGAGTACACAGAGGAAATGCAGATATAAATTAGAAATAGGTAGCTGACATGCTGGAACATACATTATGTTTTTAAACCATAAAATGTAGTAATATAAGAAAAAAGCTAAACGCAAAATGTGAATATGACCATATTGAAAAGCTTCCCTGCTTTTATGTCTGTGTGAAGGTGTGAATTTTTTTTTAAGAACTGAAAGAATAGAGAAAAGAGTTCTACCATTTATGATAATACATGTAAACTCAAACAGTTAATAGTTTAACCTTGAGTGCCTATTACATATTAGGTGTTTTTTATGTGTAGTCATTCATTTAATCCTCACAACAATCTTATGAAGCAGGTTATTTATGCTTTACAGATAAGAAAACAGTCACAGAGAGGTTAAATGACTAGCCAAAGATCATACAGCTAGAAAATAGTAAAGCTAGGATTCAAGTTTAGACACTTGGCTCTTGAGTTCATGCTTTTTAACCACACACACAATAATATCTCTATAGATTATAATGTTAGCTATCTTTGTGTGAGAATTTTTTTAAGGTTGCAATAAGAAGAACTTACTCGATCATAGCAAAGAAGTGTGGAAAAATTTGGAGTTTTCTGTTGATGTACCAATTCAACAAAACGAGCACAGTAAACAGCATCAATTGCTGAAAAAATACATCGAGGAAATATACACAGCTGTAGAAATTTTGTGATGGTCTCATTTTTGGTAGATTCTATAAATAAAGGAAGAATATATTAAGTTGTAAACTTCTTCCTCAAGGGCCTCAAAGCCACTGAACATGACAATATATTACCTTTAGTGCAGAGAGTACTGTAAAACCACAAACTATTTATAGTTTGTAACCAAAGCTCATGCCTAAGATAAGACTATCATTTTTATGCTGTGGACATTTTTTCTATCTATGATTTCTCCAAAAACATGTTTTATACAGAAAAGTTGAATGACAAGCTGTCAATATTGCAGTTATAAGTTAATTAACTTCACCAGCAAAATGTATCAGTTCCTCCAGTGAATGTGAAGTTGATTCTGCATCAACGAATAACCAAAGAATGAGATAGGGAACACTGAGTTGAAACACAAACATAATATACTTTAACACCTCTAAAATTCTAACGTTTTGTTTTCTGTCATTTACCAGCATCAGGAATGTAACAATTCCAACAACTTACTTGCTAAAAGCCAGTTGTCCTTTTCCAGTTTCAATCTCTGTAGAACTCTCTGTACATGTTCCATCTGTTTCTTTTCTTCTTCAAGAAGCTTGTCCTGAAGAGCAGTACAGCGCTCCTTCTCTTTTTTCTTTTTATTTGGGGGCTACAAAGAATAAATTAGATACTTTTCTAACCATATGCACATTACCTTTCTTCTTTCAACTGAAAAGTTTACAGAGATAAGGGCTGATAGTTTATCATTACTTCAATATGAATATAGGTCCACTTGAATGTGCAACTTTTATCTTCATTCAACACATTTATAACACTGTCATGGAGGCTTCATACACCATCAAAACAGCTAAATTTGCAACACTAATACTACTAGTCTCAGGCATAGAGAAATCTTTGACTCTTCCTTTTCCTTTATAGCAAGACTTGTTTACAAGTCTCGTACAATGCCACTACCTCCATCAGTCTATGCTCTCACAATAGATTGCCTAAAAAGCCACCTAGCTGCTCTTTAGCCTAATGCTAGTCCTTTCCCCTGTCAAAAGCATCTTTCATACTGCTGTCGTGAGTAATCTTTTTTAAGTACCATTTTTTATCATTATTACTCCCCTGCTCAGAAAACTAAAATAGCTCTCAATTGTACCAAGTCTACTTTTCTCCCTGATTTTCAATGCCCTATACAATCTGGCGCCATCATAACTATTCATATGTATCACTAAGTACATTCACTACATGAAAGTGAATCAGTAAAAGTAGTCTCCCTAAACCTCAATCTACTTCCTATCTTTGCTGGAACCCTATGGTGACCGCCCTATTTGCTTCCGTATTTCCAAACCTAATCTACCTTCAAGGCCTATCTAGCTCAAGACTCAGCTTCTCAATAATCTTCTCCTAAAGGACTCTCCCCTTGAGAACTACTGCTCTTGCTATTGGAGTCACATGAATCATTTTAAGTTATTAGCACAGTCATCAGTAGAAAAGAACCCTCAAATAATTTTTGACTAATCATAACCTCCACCTAGTCACCAACTTCCTGGCCCTCCACTCAGAAGTAACTATTAAACCCCATTTAAGAAAATATTATGTAGCAACAAGACCACTATTTTAAGGAACCAGAGCTAAAACAATTTAAAATATAGGTAACACTGAATATCATAAAGTTATTGCACTTGAAGTACTAGAACAAAAACCTACCATTTCTTGATTGTCATCAATTGCTTTCATCTGGACTTTAAGTTTATTGACTTCTCGTTCATAGCTGGTGTGTGGAACTGCAAGGTCATACATTGTCAATGACCAGAACGTGGCATAGAATTGAGGGCTGATGTCATCCCAGACTTTGGCAACATGTAAGGAGACCACTGCTTCATGGACAGGCGCCATCACCATCTCACATGATGTTATGTACTTATGAACTTTATGTTGCTGTTTACTTCCCTTTTCTGATTTTTTAAGCTCATCATACTTTGACTGGAGATAAAAAGTAAAAATACATACATACATACATACACACACACACACGACATAATTTATAGCTTTGATTTTCATGGTATAAAAATCTATATTCTCTTTTAAAGAATCAAGAGACGACCAATCTCAAAACTGTTACAGAAATTCTAGTTTCTTCCCAACAATATTTATTTTAAGACAAATTATCCCTGGAAGCTATTCCAATCTTTAGTACTGAGTGCTAACTAGGAGATTTTCAGAGGATTCTTATCTAATCTAACCTGTGGAGTAAAGCGAATAGGGTATATGCACATCCCCCTCTTCCATTCGCCCACCCTACTCCCTCTTGCTCCTGTATCAGGGATTGAACAAGTAGGGTTTCCAATCCTGCTTTTGAGATATTCAAGCAAACAAACAGAAGGTCTTAACATGAGAAAAGAGGAAGAATGCAACTAGTAACAGCCAACTAGGACAGGATGTAGTATCACTACATGTAGTCCCTACCAACTATTAAAATGTGTCAATTAAAAAGCTGGATCAAGAGGTTGAGGTGGGCGGATAATTTGAGGTAAGGAGTTCAAGACCAACCTGGTCAGCATGGCAAAACCCCATCTCTACAAAAAATATAAAAAATTAGCTGGCCGTGGCGGCACATGCCTGTAATTCCAGCTACTTGGGAGGCTGAAGTGTGAGGGTCACTTGAGCCCCAGAGGCGGAGGTTGCAGTGAGCTGAGATCCCACCCCTGCACTCCAGCCTGGGTGACAGGAGACTGTCTCAAAAAAAGAAAAAAGAAAAAAGAAAAGGTGGATCAACACCAAGAAAAGTTATGAGAAATTTGTTTCAAGGCTGTTAAGTAGGGTGACCAATTGTCAGGGTTTCCTGGGGATTTAGGGGTTTCTGAGGATATAAGACTTTAGTGCTAAAACTGGGAAAGTCCCAGGCAAATTAGGATCGAATCATTACCCTACTGCTTAGCCAAATAAATTTTTCTGTGAAAAGCTGTGGTATATTGAAGTTTAAAGCATGTGAGAACTGATGCTGCAGCTTCTTTCACCTGATTGGTTTATCCTAATTTGGGGGAAAAGTCAGAGGAAGGCCATATTCTCAATAGTATGGGGGAAAAAAATGTTAGTACTATGGGAGGAGCTTCAGAGATATGTGTATGCCAAATATATTCTCTCTCTCTACACACACACACACACACACACACACACACACACACACACACAGATAACACATAAATATGCTGCTATTGCTTCATGTCCTTCAGTCCCTTTAGGATGAAACGGCTCTCATCCAGAAAATTCTGTTTGGGTTAGTTATCAGCCTTAATATAACCTAAGGGAAGTCCTAAAACTAGTTTCTTCTTTATGTTAGAATATTACTTAAATCATTCTATTTGTGCTAAACATGTAACCGAAAACAAGATGATCAAAGGTTCTGCTTCCAGTTCTACGCTGTGACAGGCAAAAGAGTCTCAGCTCCTTACAGCTCAGTTACCTGCCTTCTTCCTTCCTGAGTGCCCTAGGTGCTGCTATGCTCCCAGGCTCACTGCACTAAAAGCACACAACATTCTCTTTCTTCAAGGAGGGTTCTCAAACAGAACCTGAGAATTTGACAATTGTTTTGTAAGTCCAAAGATTTATGTTGTTATCCCCATTTTAGAGAGCATGCTGACAACTACTAAGACCACATAAGTGACAGTTATAAAGAACATTAGTTATGAGAGGAGTCCCAATTGCATCAGAAACCACAGGAAACAGCAGTTGGGAAAACAGTTTAATTTAGAGGACAGGTCTTATTGAAGGTAAGTAATATTAATCTAGATGAGCAGAATGATTTCTGCTAAGGTTCTAACAAAACAGAATAAAATAGGGTTGATGCTATCTGCATAAGAGAGCCTAGTTACCTGATCTGGGCAAGATCTAGAATATGAACTAGGTAAAAGTATATCTTTCAGACCTGTGCCTCAAGGTGGACTTCAACTTCAACAATTTAAACTAAAAATTAGTTTATAGGTATGAGGGGGTTACATGATAGCTCCCGTCTCCCCAGTCCTCTGGGTCTGAATCTGTGATTTCTATTGCTAGTCACCCCATAGTCACTATCTAGTTAGAAAAACAGACTTGGTCAGAAAAGATATCTATACTTCATATTTACCCAGGATGAGTATGTCCTTGTCTAAAGTCAGTTTAACTCCTACTTCAAGTTCACATCTTCAGTCAAATGAAGAGACATAATAGTTCTACATCTCAAATCACCTAGGGAACTAGACTTACGGAATAGAACTGATATCCACAATTATTGCTGTACTTCTACTGTTCAAAAATCTCGCCTCAAGAATCTGAGCAGGCCAGATGCACTGGCTCATGCCTGTAATGCCAGCACTTTGGCAGGCCAAGGCAGGTGGATCACCTGAGGTCAGGAGTTTGAGACCAGCATGGCCAACATGGCAAAACCCCTAAAAATATAAAGCTCAGCTGTGTGTGGTGGCGGGGGCCTATAATCTCAGCTAGCTGGGAGCATGAGGTAGGAGAATTGCTTGAACCTAGGAGGCAGAGGCTGCAGTGAACTGAGATTGCACCACTGCACTCCAGCCTGGGAGACATTGCAAGACTTCACCTCAAAAAAAAAAAAAAAAAAAAAAAAAAAATTCTGAGCAACATTTGGCTGAATTATCCTCAAGAGAGCCTGCTGATAGCCAATTTATAGAGGGGACATAGCAGTCATCTAATATACATTTTCTTTGTCTCAATGAAGGCTCCTCAACAGAGGCTTTCACTCAAGAAGCAAAAGCAAGGATCCTCAGGGCAGCTTGGATGCCCATCCAGTGAAACCAAGGTTGCTGGGAAACTCTTTTTCCACAGAGTGGCATGTTGCCTACAGATAAAAGACTTATCTCTGACTTGGCTATAGAGCCACCTCCATATAGTTTTCTGTTTTCTTACAAGCCTGAGAAGGAAATGCCCTTTCTTTATTTAGATTTTTGTTATCTCTTAAAAGACAAAGACAATATTTTACACAAGTAAGAGAGAAACGGTAGCTTGAATGGCCTGCACCACTTTCTGACCTGGCAAAGTTCAGCCAACCTCAGACAATCAGGTGTTCCTGTTTGCTAGGGTTCCATAATGCTGATTAGTGTGTTCACTTAGCACAGGTCAGGTCAGAATTCCTAAGATGAAGCAATTCTCCCACCTCAGTCCATCAAGAAATCAGGTATCCTCTTGTATAGCTGAGACTGATCTACCATGGGGTTTGACAACAATAAGACATTACACAAAGACAGCATACAATTATCTGGATTAAGAGGATCTGAAGGAGAAGAAGCAGCCTAACACCACTCTCTTATTGTCTTTTCTCCTTCAGAGTGTACAGATAACACAAGAATTTCTGCAAAGCGCTAACAAAGTGATAATTAAATCAAGTAACAGTTAGAAAAGTGGGAAATTGTAGCAGTTGATATGTAAACACTAACAGCAGATGTCTGATTAAATGATCAATTAGACTCCAAATTTCTCATCACCTTTTTTGTATACCTCTACTACACAGCTCTGTGTCCCTACCAGAAACAAAGAAGGGATCCCAGTTTAAGGGCCAAGACCTTCCCCCAAAATATGTAGTGAAATGTACTTACATATAAAACCGTTAAGAAATAATTTGGATCACTCTTAAGCGGCAGCAAAGGCACTTGTACTTACCGAAATATGATGGGCATACATTGGCCTAGACAGGAAAAATGCTGCATCATGGGGTGTATGAAATTCATTACAGAGTACATCAATTGAAGGCACTCGCTTTATATAATCTTCTGTGCTCAGATTAGATGCTAAAAACCCGCCGAACTGCACCAGGGTATCATGACACTAAATTTTAAAAATAAGACAAAATCAACGTATTTTCCAAAGTGAGTAAGAAGTCATTTTAGGAATATTTTAACAATTAAGAATCCAAATTTTACAACCTAAGAAGACTTCAGAGACCATCTACAAATATAATCACATAACCATATTACAAAAAAGATGCCAAGGCCCTAACAGGTTGACTAATCCAAGGCTTTACTAGCCAACTAGGTCTCTTAAATGCCAAGCTGTATTTCATCACTTTTAGTGGAATATATTTACCTAAATCAAATAAGATAATAACCATAGGCAAACAGAAGTCAATTCCTTTGCCCTTAAAAGAAGAAAACTTTATTTACAGAATGTATTCATAAATATCAAGTACCAAAACCTAAGATTAGCCCACAAAATGTGTCTAACTATCATCAACTATAACACAAAGAAAAAGAGAGATAGCAACCCAGCCTGCGCAACATGGCAGAGCCCGAGTCTACAAAAAAAGTCCAAAACTTAGCCAGGCAAGGTGGTGCACACCTATAGTCCCCAGCGACTCAGGAGGCTGAGGTAGGCTAACACTTGAGCCAGGGAGGTCAAGGCTGCAATGAGCTGAGATCATGCACTGCACTCCAGCCTGAGTAACACAGTAAGGCCTTGCCCAAAAAAAAAAACAAAAAAAAAACTGACAGACAGACAGAAAGGAAGGAAGAAAGAAAGGGAAAGGGAAAGGAAAAGAAAAGAGAGAGCGTGCACGAGTGATCAAACGAGCATCTATTCTATTACGACTGAGATTTCCAGACATCAGGAAAGATATAAATGCAAACAACTTGAAGTTGCAAGAATTTAATGATGTAATATTTAAATAATTGACAGTCTTACATATAACATCTCTTGGAGCGAACTCTTAAATATCATAATTTACATAGAAATAGGCTCTATTTCCTGAATGTCTATTTCACATTAGATTAGGATGTCTCATATTCACATGATGTGCAAAAATGACGTTTTTCAAATTATAACATCTTCCTTTAACAGGATTTAAAAAATGTACATAAACATAATAGCCACTTTAACTTGCCTGGTCATAGAGCTTTCCCACAAGTTTCAAATGTTTCTCTCCACCTTCCTGAAAGATTACTCCATTCCTCTGCTGAGCCATAAGGAGACAGAGAGGAAGGGCAAGATCATGGTCCAACAGAGCATCCTTTAATCTCTGAGAGGATTTTTTAGTGTTTCTGATCTGACCAAAATAACCACCCTGCACAAGAGAAGACAAAAATTTACTAATGTACAGTATATAACCCATGCTGTCTAATTTGATAAAGACATAGCAGAAAGTTGAGTTAAAATCCTTAATATAAAAACTCCTGCATTACACATTTCTTCCCTTACACAAATTTATTTTAGTGACTGTTACTAACTGCAGTCACTGGCTTAAAGACAAACATCAGCTGAATTTAAATTCTTGCATATTTTCCATTTTCCACCTTGCAGTCCCTCATAAAGGATTATTAAATTATTCATTGTGGCACAGATTCAACAGAGCAACTAAGATTTAAGGGAGTAAGGATATCAAGGATCACAGAAGACTTAGTAATTATTTAGTAATTATTTTATTTATTATTATTTTGTCAGGGGGAGGAACAGAGTCTTGCTATCATTACCCATGCAATGGCATAATCTTGGCTCATTGCAACCTCCGCCTCCTGGGTTCAAGCAATTCTCCTGACTCAGCTTCCCAAGTAGCTGGGATTACAGGCGCCAGCCACCACACCCAGCTAATTTTTTGAATTTTTTTTTTTTTTTTTTTTTTTTTGAGACGGAGTTTCGCTCGTTACCCAGGCTGGAGTGCAATGGCACGATCTCGGCTCACCGCAACCTCTGCCTCCTGGGTTCAAGCAATTCTCCTGCCTCAGCCTCCTGAGTAGCTGGGATTACAGGCACGCGCCACCATGCCCAGCTAATGTTTTGTATTTTTAGTAGAGACGGGGTTTCACCATGTTGACCAGGATGGTCTCGATCTCTCGACCTCGTGATCTGCCCGCCTCAGCCTCCCAAAGTGCTGGGATTACAGGCTTGAGCCACCGCACCCGGCTAGTTTTTTGAATTTTTAACAGAGACAGGGTTTCATCATGTTGGCCAGGTTGGTCCCTAACTCCTGACCTCAAGTGATCCACCAGCCTCGGCCTCCCAAAGTGCTGGGATTACAGGGCATGAGCCACCGTGCCTGGCCTTAGTTGGTAATTACTTTCCTTACAGATGCATTACTTACTTTTATATTTTGCTTCAGCTTTTTTAAAAAGTTAATTACTGTATCTCAATTTCTAAAACGGAGTAGGGGTGGTTGTGAAAGGAAGGCATGTACGGCTTTGACATTTGGTTTTATTAACTGACATATTGTTTGTATTCTATACTATGATCATACATACATTATGAATTTTTAAAGTTGTTGAACAAAAATAGCAATTCTTACCTCAGCTTTTAGCTGCTCTCCACCAGTCATGGCCTCTAGTTGCTCCATTGTCATTTCCTCTGTAATTTCTATTCCTGCCATTTTTTGCACCACTTCTTTCAATATAAGCAAGTCAAAACTATTCAAAAAGAAAAAAAAAACATTTTACAGTTAGAACTTCAAATACAAAAATAATATACTGTACTTAATATACTAAGAATCCCTAAATTATTTGTATATGAATATGGGGGAAGAGGTTGAAGCAGTTTTTAAGGAACTGCATTCCTAGAACTATATTGTCAAATACTTGGTGTGTATGTTTATTTTAACTTTTACTTGGAAATAATTTCAAATTTACTGATAGGATGGAAAAATAAAAACAGTACAAAGCTCAACCATATATCCTTTATCTCAACTTCACCTAGTAACATTTTTAATCCTGCTTGCTTTATCATCTGCACTTTCTTTCCCTCTCTGAAGCCCCTCTCTACATACATAGTCACACACTCAATTTTTTAATCATTTGAGGGAAAATTATTTACATCATGGTCTTCTGCCCCTAAAATTTCTAAGACTGCATTTCCTAAGAGAGCTATTCTCTTACATAACCACAGCAGTTATCAATTTTAATAAATCTAATACTGATACAATACTTTAATCTACTATTCATATTTCATTTTACTGGTTGACCAAATAAGGTCCTTCATAGCATTTTTTCTCCTCCAATACAGGACGGCCAAAATGTTTTTGATGGCATACAGCCATTTCTAAATAATCCACTTACTAAAAAGGGACAAAGATGTAGCATGGTCACATAAACTTGGAAGAGAGGGAGGGAAGGAAGGAAAAAAAGAAGTTCTAAGTTGGGGTATCTGAGCCAAAGATGACAATTTAGTGGCCAGTCTGAAGCACATTTTTCAGTAATATGCCAACAGTTATGTTTTTTAATCTTCAAAGTTTAGGACTACCAACGGAAACAATACCTTTTGTCCTCTAAGGATAGCCAATACCTTATGTCCTCTTCTTTAGATAACCTAAACAAAGTAAAAACATTCTTTCCTAAAAAATACAGATGTTTTTCCAAATGTAAAGTTAGACATACCCAAGACACAAGCTAACAGATGAAGAAACCATTTTCTAAGATTCTTAAGTGTTCTCTCAACTTGCCTTGTTTTCCTCAGTTTTTCTTTTTTTAAGAAAGCCCTCATGAAACTAGTATATAAATACCAATGAAACGGTTTATTTTTCCTTTAAACTATGCTTCAATTAGATGGTCACAAACACTGTATTCACAGTACAGAAAGCTGAATTATAGATTAAAAAATAATGTATGTTCTGCTGGTCTAAAGACAAAGAAGAATAAAAATATATAGAAATGGCAGAGAGATGAGCATAAGGGATGTGCCAATACAATTTTACGTTTAAATATTTTTTCAAGTTTTCCGTATGCCAAAATAAGAATCTGTCAGTAATTACTTAGGTAATACTTGTTTAGAACACCAAATAGTTTTTAATTTTTTGTTTGCTTTCTACCAGAAAGCTTTTGAAAACAATTTCAGGTTCTCTGATTCGAGTCAGTCTACTTCTCTTGAGGTTTAACATACACACATATTAATTCAAACTCTAAGCACTGATACTGGCCCAAAATAAAATAAACTTCACTATTTACAAAGAAAAGAAGACATTGTCCAAAAGGCATGGAAGTATTATGTATCTCTAAAACTCAAATTCAAAAATTATCCTTTAAAGGTATTGAATACACCCTCAAATAAACATGTTCCTACCAGATGCTCAACGTGATACAGGTCAATTACTGCATACAGACCTAGTGCAGTATGTTTTGTCATAGGAAGATACACAATACATTACATTAGCCATTTACTCAAAAGCCTAATAGGCAGTCAAAATAAATCAAAGTATCTTTTTAGTGCGTTAACATATATAGCCAAATATTACATTTATTCGTGAAAAAAGGTGTCTATTTATGTATTAAGTTATCATTTAACTAAAGAATTTCATGTAAATAAGTGAGCAGCTATTCTACTTGAGCCTACAACCAACAAGTAAGTAGTCTTTCAGGATAATAGGAGTCTCAATACCCCCAAACCAACAGAAGTACTCTATTGAATTTTATTAAGTATAATTTGCTATGAATACCTTTTACCCGCCTTTAGCTGATTGGCAACATACTGAAGAAGACCGGCAAGATCAATTGGATATTTACGAAAAACTGCACCACAGAAACTAGCCAGACCTATATGAAATAAAAAAGGAGTAAAAACAACTCATAAAACAAAATGTACAAGTATCAGTTCTTCAACTAAACTTCTAAAACAAAATGAGGTAGGCCTAATTGTATTGCTGATGCTGTTGAATGGAGTTCCATAACAGTAACAATAACCAATATTTACTGATCATAGATACATGTCAAGCACTGTACCAAGCACTTTATAATGATTATCTTATTTAACCCTTGCAACTATTATCTTAGGTTGGTATAACCTATTGATGAGGCAAATTCAGAACAGATACGTCATGTAACTTGCTCACAGTCACATAGTACGAAGTAGAGCGGTAAGTCAAATCTTTGCAGCCTGATTCCAGAGCTTGTGAAACTAAGATATAACAAAATCTTGCAGATCACTCAGTAAACTTGAATAAATGACAAAACACCAGGCCCCTGAATGTGAGTCAAGAAAAAATAAAATCTCTTTTTATCTAGGAACATGCCACTAGTTGTGGAGGTGGAAGAAAATAAGTAAAGTATTACCAGACCTAGAAGCAGACAAGAAACCAATTTTAACCAACGGTCCTCATCATACCATGAATAGGGAGGAAACCCCAGTCAATACAAGAGTAGGAGATTCTAGTAAAGTCAAGTACTCTGCAGCCTATTCCACAACTATTTGCCAAGCACCTAAATGATACTGGACAAAACACAAGTCCTGCCCTCAAGGAGCTGAGTCTAATGGAAGATACAGAAAAGTAGACAAATAACTATGATGAGCAAAAGGCTCCATGGGAATACATAAGAGGAGCACCTAATTCAGACTTGTGGGTGGGAGCATTAACAGAAAAAGCTTTCCAGAGGAAGTGACCTCAAAGCTGAAATCTAATGAATAAACAGAACATGGAGTGGGCCATGAAAGGTATTCCAAGTCAAGTGAATAATGAGCAAAAGGTCATGGAAAGTACAAGAAGTTCAGCATTAATGAAATCTAGAATATCGGGAAGCAGGGAAAAGATAAGACTAGAACAGTGCAAAGGACCTGATTTCAAAAGAACTTACTTGTATGACTTATTAAACATTTCGGACTTTAAAGGACAATGGGGAGTCACTGCAAGATTCCGCTATCAGATACAGTAAGTTGAAAGAAAGGGAACTGGCTGCTAGAAACCAAAGGTACAAGAATTAAAAAGAAATATGGTTAGTTTTTTTTGGTTAAACTAAGTCAAGTTTTTGCTTTTTTAAGATGACTGGAACCTCAGGATGGAATGGGAAGAAATGAGACTAACTCCCTTAAGATCAACTTCTATAAAATAATGTTAGTTAAAAAGGAGATTTTCAGCTAGGCGCAGTGGCTCACGCCTGTAATCCCAGCACTTTGGGAGGCCGAGGTAGACAGATCACTTAAGGTCAGAAGTCCGAGACTATCCTGGCCAACATAGTGAAACTCCGTCTCTGCTGAAAATACAAAAATTAGCTGGGTGTGGTGACGCATACCTGTAATCCCAGCTACTCGGAAGGCTGAGGCAGAAGAGGTGCTAGAACCTGGGAAGCAGAGGCTGCAGTGAGCTGAGATTGCACCACTGCGCTCCTGGACCACAGAGCGAGACCTCGTCTCAAAAAAATAAATTAAATTAAAAATAAAATAAAATGAAGGAGATTTTACCTCCCCAGTAATACTTACCCAAATTGACTCTGATAGCAGAGTCAATAACGGTCTCTTAAGTTAGGAAAATAAATAAGAACTATATCAACCTCCTTACATAGCCAAGGACTCTACAGAACAAGCTTAGTAGCTAGATATTCTCAACAACTCTTAACAAATAGGCTCATAAAAGTCTCTAAGCATAGATAATAAAATACATAACATGGCAGTTACCACAGATAATAATTTCATCTTTTGAAAAATAAAAATACTTACTCTGAAGCCAGCTTGAGATGGTTGTGTCATCATGTTTCATTCTTTCCTTTTCTGGATTAGCTAAAGCTTCAATGATACAATCTTTCATATATTAAGAAAAAAACTAAGTCATTACATCTCTAATAAAGACCCTTAAAACATAAATATGCCACATCTTAAGGGCAAAACTGTTGGTCATTAAGTAAGACCAGGGATGCTGCTAAAACAAATTATTGAAAAATACACTCACTGTAGTACCAACATCTCTTCTTTAGCCTCCTTTCCATCTTTCAGAAATCAAGATAGATTCCATCAAAAACAAGATGTCTGGTAAGCCACCTGAGTACAGTGGCTCATGAACTTTGGAAGACCGAGGTGGGGGGATCACTTGAGGTCAGGAGTTTGAGATCACCCTGGCCAACCTGGTGAAACCCCATCTCTACTAAAAACACAAAAATTAGCCAAGTGTGGTGGTACACGCCTGTAATCCCAGCTACTCGGGAAGCTGAGGCAAGAGACTAGCTTGAACCCGGGAGGTAGAGGTTGCAGTGAGCTGAGATCGTGCCACTGCACTCCAGCCTGGGTGACAGAGCAAAACTCTGTCTCACAAAAAAAAGTTCGGTGAGCCTAACATATCTCCCTTTATACAACACAAAGACACACACACACACACACACACACACACACATACACACACACACGACTGACCAAACTTCAGATCAGCCATCTGAATCAATCTCAGATGGTTACTAAAGAAAAACAGAATGGCTGGGCGCGGTGGCTCACGCCTGTAATCCCAGCACTTTGGGAGGCCGAGGTGGGTGGATCACGAGGTCAAGAGATCGAGACCATCCTGGTCAACATGGTGAAACCCCCGTCTCTACTAAAAATACAAAAAATTAGCTGGACATGGTAGCGCGTGCCTGTAATCCCAGCTACTCAGGAGGCTGAGGCAGAAGAATTGCCTGAACCCAGGAGGCGGAGGTTGCGGTGAGCCAAGATCACGCCATTGCACTCCAGCCTGGGTAACAAGAGCGAAACTCCATCTTAAAAAAAAAGAATGAAAATAAAACATTTACCATACTATCTATTAAATATAAAATCTACATGTTACTTCACTTTAAAGGATACAGGCCAAAACATCATAATTCAATGAAGTGAGGTATTTCAATGAATCTACTACAGGTGTTATTAAGTTATCATACTTCTGTATTTGTGACAAGATCTGGAAAACAGCAACAAACAATAGAAGGCATTAACTAATCAAAGGATTTCTACTGTACCAACTAAGTAATGGCTACGTTTTATTTTTCAAAAGAAATAATGCTTATAATTAAAGTGGTTTCCCATCACTTCATATTTATATAGAAATTACTATTGTGTCATTGCCTGAGAGAATATTTTCTTAGGCTACATTTTTTAGTTAGGAAAAAATCCCAATTCTATAAAAAAATGACAGTGGTTATTTGGAATTGCAATGAATCTGCAGATTCCTTTGGGCAGTATGAATATTTTAACTATATTGATTCCTCCAATCCAAGAGCATGAAATGTCTTTCCATTTGCTTTTATCACTATGATTTCTATCATCAGTGTTTTATAGTTCTAGTAAAAATCTTTCACCTCCTTGGTTAAATGTATCTCCTGGTACTTTTTTTGTGGCTATTGTAAATGGAATTGTGCTCTTGATTTGGTTTTCAATTTGAACATTATTTGGTGTATAGAATGTTACTGATTTTTGTATGTTAATTTTGTATCCTGAAACTTTACTATGGGTTTGCAGGCACATAAAGATAGAAAGACACTGGGGACTCTAAAAGTAAGGGGTGGGGTGGGGCAAGGTTTGAAAACTACCTATTGGGTATTATGCTCACTATTTGGGTAAAGGGTTCAATAGAAGCCCCAACCCCAGCATTATGTAATATATACATGTAATAAACCTGCACATGTACCCCCTGAAGCTTAAAAAAAAAAATTTAAAAAGGAAATCATTCTAGTTGGTCCAGAGCTGAATTTTAGAATGAAAGAGTGTAGTATCTCTCATGTGTTTTAGAAATCTCTAAATATTGGCAAGGCATGGTGGCTCATGCCTATAATTCTAGCACTTTAGAAGGCCAAAGCAGGCAGATTACCCAAGGTCAGGAGTTCAAGATCAGCCTGGCCAACATGATGAAACCTCGTCTCTACGAAAAATACAAAAAAAACTAGCCATGTGCAGTGGCGCACACCTATAATCCCAACTACTCAGGAGGCTGAGAATTGCTTGAACCCAGGAGGTGCAGGTTGTAGTGAGCCGAGATCATGCCACTGCACTCCAGCCTGGGTGACAAGAGCAAGATTTCACCTCAAAAAAAAAAAAGAAAAGAAAAGAAAGAAAAAAAGAAATGTCTAAATATTGAAGTACTAGTATTAAGTATCAATCACAATGAAATGTTATTTGAATGTTTCTAAAAACTAAATTCAACAAGTAACACTTCTAGAAATCAAAATGTGGTATACAAAATAACATATTGTCTATAATAGTAACACTGTTACATATTACTATTAATAGAAAAATATATCAATGTGTTAAATACATTGTATAATGTATAATTTTCTTTTTAGCATAACCTTACAATATTTCATTTTCTAACTTCCACTCGCACTGATTTAAAGGCAACAAAAAGAAAAATCCCTTAAAATAATATTAACCTCAAAACATACATAATCAAACAAAATGGTTGGATTGCTGTGGCTCAGCTTCCCAATTTGTCTTCCAGAAGGCTTCACATTTTCCTTGGTTAGGCGCCTACAGAGGAAGAAAAAGGTGGCAGGGATCATCTTAAGTAACATTCTTTGTAATGTGGATAGCTTTGTTACAACATAGTTGGGGGGAACCAATTATTCCCCAAATATTCAAAATGGATTCATGTAAACGACCACATTCATCGTATCCTTTATGGCAGGATTTGGGCTATTTTGGTTAGGGATTCTCCAGGATAATATTGAGACTTCATATTAAATGCTTAACATTTATAAAATACACATTTCAACTTTATATTAATAGTCTAATAATCAGTAAAACTCTTAATGTACTCTATACGTACATAAAACTCTTCTTACAAATAATCAAAATTATTTCAGATTTAGGAGGATTCATTTATCAGTTTAGGGATTAAGAGATTAAATTTGGTGTCATGCAATGAAATGCCTCATGCCATCTGGCTCAGTGACTCGAACAGAGTAATAGCTCATGCTGCATTCCTCAATATGTAAAGTTATCTGCTTTTCATAGTCAAGGTAAACAATTATTTTGAAGCTAAATTCTACTCTTTTTATTTCTTCCTTTGCTCATTATTTAAATTTATATCTATGAATTCTTACAGTTCAAAACAATTATTACACAGAATCTTAAATGCCTGTGATGAGATTATTACATAATAAATGTAGAGACTTCAAAAGGCTACAAGTGACAGTAAGGAAGCTTTCTAGGATGAAAATATAATGACGTAAATTATAAATGCAGTTTATAATTCAGGAAATGTGACCATTCTCCAAGTGACAAACTTGCTATAATTAATTATGACAAAACTGGCCCCATCAATCAAAATTATTTCATCATCAACTGTTTCTTTCCAGTTCTCCATATCCCAGTTTCTTCTGTTTCACAGAAAGAGAGACCATTAAATGTTAGCTATTCAGTATTTTGTTCAAACTTGAACTTACCACTACCTGTCCCTATTTCTAACCCCAATATTTCAGATCCCTACCCTCTACTTGCCAAGGCCAACCCCTCCTCTCTGTTTTTTATTCCATTCCCTTCTGCCTCCATACCCTGGAGGGACAAACAAACAAACAAAAAAACGAAAAGAAATGTTTTCTTGTCTTTGTCTTCTCCTCAAGCTACCAGTGTCTGGCATATAGAACACAATAAACATTTGTAGAAAGAATTATTAAATGCCCTATAGCAAGCTCATGTTTTAAATAGTATTCAAAGCTCATGAAATCCTGCAAGTAATAAATTAATACATTATATGCTCAATCTAAAAACTTCGAACAGTAACAAAATCGTGTTGTTTAAGCCTGGTAAAATAGTTATAGCTTACAAATGTAACAAAAATCCAAATATATTAAAAATTCTGCACATATTATTCTATAGTAAATTATATTTTTATTCATTCATTCATATTAATGCCTACGATGACAGTCAAAGTACTAAGCATTAGAAATACAAGGACGATTGTGTGTCAGTCTTTTGGCTAAGGTCAAGTATGGAAATATAAGGATGAGGCTGGGTGCAGTGGCTCATGCCTATAATCCCAGCACTTTGGGAGGCCGAAGCAGGCGAATAATGAGGTCAGGAGTTCAAGACCAACCTGGACAACATGGTGAAACCCTGTCTCTACTAAAAATACAAAAAAATTAGCTGTGCGTGGTGGCAGGCGTCTGTAATCCCAGCTACTCGGGAGGCTGAGGCAGGAGAATTGCTTGAACCTGGGAGGTAGAGGATGCAGTGAGCCAAGATGGCACCACTGCACTCCAGCCCGGGTGACAACTCAAGACTCCATCTCAAAAGAAAAAAAAAAGAAAGAAAAAAAGAAAAAAAAGAAAAATACAAGGATGAATAACAGTTCCTGCTCTCAAGCCTGGTCCAGTGATGGAAACAGATTTAAAATCATTTATTAAATTTCAACATTCTTAAACAAAAAGAGCAATCAAGAGAACAGTACTTATATGCTATTGATAATATAAAAGGTGGCTAGCCATTGCAGTGGCTCACGCCTATAACCCCAGCACTTTAGGAGGCCAAGGCAGGTGGATCACAAGGTCAGGAGTTCAAGACCATCCTGGTCAAGATGATGAAACTCCATCTCTACCAAAAATACAAAAATTACCCAGGCATGATAGCGGGCACCTGTAATCCCAGCTACTTGGGAGGCTAAGGCAGAGAACTGCTTGAATCCGGGAGGCAGAGGTTGCAGTGAGCCAAGATCGTGCCACTGCACTCCAGCCTGGGTGACAAAGCGAGACTCCATCTCAAAAATAAACAAACAAACAAATAAAAATAAATAAATAAAAGGTGGCTGGGGTGTGGTGGCTCACATCTGTAACCCAAACACTGGGAGATCAAGGTGGAAGGATAACTTGAGGTCAGGAGTTTGAAACCAGCCTGGGCAACATAGTGAGGTCCCATCTTGACAAGGAAAAAACAATATTAACATAAGAAGAAGAAGAAGAAGAAGAAGAGGGGGATAATATATTTGTATTGGCTTATATATACATAAAAATATCTGGAAGGATATATAAGAGACTAAATAGTGGTTACTTTTTACGGGGTGGGGAGAACTGAGTAGATGTAGGATGGGGTGAGACTTTCTGCTGTATGTATTGTATACCTTATTTACTGAAATTTAAACCATGTAAACATATAAATTATTTAAAACTTTAGATAGCTAAAAAAAGAAAAATAATCATAGAAATGTAGCAATGTACCTACAGGTATGATAACATTATATTCACAAAGAATAGTGGTGGAAATAAAGATCCATTGTGTTTGGCAGTATATGCTAGGGAAGCCTTCACTGGAAGTAACACTGGAGCTCACTCTCCAAGAATGAGGTCACCAGATGGAAAAGGGGAAAGGAAGGTAAGGGAAAACCTGTACAAACAGAGAAAACAAAAAGTACATACAAGGGAAGAGAAGCTAAGGAAACAGTGGTACAGTCAGGGAAACATAAGTAGACTCAGTACATCTGGAAGTAGAATTGGCAGGAAAGGAGGTTAGATGCAGGGAGGGACAAATCAGAGAGGACCTCTTATATATCACTATGCCATAAAGCTTAACATAAACCTTCAGGTAAAGTCAGTCACCAAATGATTTTTAGTAAGAGAATATACAAATCACTGTAATACACCAGATAAAAGAACTAAGATAGTGGTGGTAGAGACAGTAGATGAGACAGATTCAAGGGATTCAATAATGCTTAAATATATTATCAAACAATCCATGTAGAGCACTTAGTTTAATATTTGGCACATATAGTAATAGCTCCCTAAATATTAGCTGTTGTTGTTAAGCTAGAAACTGTACCTGGAGAACTCTTAAGTCCAGAAACTCTTTCATATCTAATACCATCTCCTGCCAAAACTCCCCCAAGTAAAATCATTTACTCTCATCTATCCTCCCATAGCACTTTATTCATACTATGTAACAGCACCTATTAAACTAGATTGTTTCAATATAATCCATAGGTTCACAGGAAAAAAAAAAAAAAAAAAACTAGATTGTAATCAAGCACACATTTGTTTTCCCAGTAGACTGTGACCAGAAACATTATCACTGGGCAAAGACAACATTTAACAGACATTACGCACTGTTAAATCTAAATAAACTAGAAATCGAACTACTTTTAATTCGAATAACCATACCACTGCTATGAATTTACAAAAGGAATGGCAACTGACATTACCCTCGTTGAAAACACTTTCAATACAGCAGTGTAATTAAGCATCTAAACTGATACTAATCTGAAGTATATGATTTTCATAATTAAACTTCAAATAATCTACTGGGAAGTAGAACATCACTCATGTCTTTAATGATATGAAAATAAAAGTATACAATATTTTTTAAAAAGAAATTTCTCAAAAGTTGACTCCCTATGGAGATAATTCTGCATAATTTCATTAGTTCTTCCTAATAGACTAAAAAAATCATTATGGTAACTTTCAGCAGAAGAAATTGCTAGAACTTTGACTACCTTGCACAAATCACTAAAGAGATTGAGCAAAGGCCACAGCAGGCTGTCCTTAAAAAGAAAAAAAAAAAAACACAAAACTCTCATCCTATAATATGATGCATGCATTAAAAGGGATTTTCATTAGATTTTTATCCATATGCAAACATGACAACTATGAAAACTTGGTAGTCAAATATAGCTAAAACCACAATTAATAGTCATTCTGTCTATAGTATATAAATCAGCTATACCATACACAACACACAGGCTTTCTCAAAACTGAGGCTCAGACAAGCTAGCAGAAAAGAGGTAAATTAGATTGAGAAATAAATTAGATTAATATGAAAAATAAACAAATTAAAACTTACTTCATGATATATTTGGCTCTGTCTATTGTTTGAGCTTTAACTTTTACTAAAAGTGGATGACTGTTATAAGTTTCATTCTTCCACTGGCCATACAGACGGTATCTTAAAAAATGATGAGATGAAGAATTAGGAAAAGTTAAACACTTAGAGGTTAGCATACTAGAATTACTAGTAGTTTAAAACATGAAAATAATATGTATTTACCTATGCTGATATGGAAATGTTTTAAACATTCCCCATAGTTCCTCAGACATACAAGCATTGCAGTCCATCAAAGAAAGAGATGGAAGTAGTACCTGGTCAGTAATGCTAAGCAAACAGCTAAGGATAACTTCCTAAAAGAAAAAAGGAAAAGTTATTTCAGTAAGAAGCCCATATTAATAGAATCCAACAACAAATTTATGATAGCCTTGGGAAAATTACTTTTTTTTTTTTTTTTTTTTTTACGGAGTTTCACTCTTGTTACCCAGGCTGGAGTGCAATGGCGCTATCTCAGCTCACCGCAACCTCCGCCTCCTGGGTTCAGGCAATTCTCCTGCCTCAGCCTCCTGAGTAGCTGGGATTACAGGCACACGCCACCATGCCCAGCTGATTATTTGTATTTTTAGTAGAGACGGGGTTTCACCATGTTGACCAGGATGGTCTCGATCTCTTGACCTCGTGATCCACCCGCCTCGGCCTCCCAAAGTGCTGGGATTACAGGCTTGAGCTAGTGCTGGGATTACAGGCGCTGGGCCGAAAATTGCCATTTCTTAATCTCATAACACACAATATCCCATTCCCTACCCATCCTTTTCACAACGCTTATCTATGTTTCTCCATCTAAGACATCAATGGGCTAAGGAAAGGGGTAGCAAAGGAATGAGAACTTTTATCTCTCTTCCTTTTTCAATATACTAATCCTCAGAGGAAAGAAAGGTTAGTCTTAAAAGATAACTTTGCATAAGCTGCCAAAAGCTGTAATCAGCATCTACAGTATAAAACAATTACTCATACAGATAATTAAAGCTTGTTCAGAGTAAAACTTGTAGTATACTGTACCAAGACTAACATTAGACACATTATTGGATTTTTCTAATCTCTTACCGTTTTTTCTTTATCTTCTTGTTTGCTTCCATCAGACTGAAACTACAATTTAAAAAAAGAAATTAATAAAATGCAAAAAGGTTAACATTATGCTGTCACAATTTAGTTTCTAATTTGAAAAAAATTTAATTTGCACATGGTTGTAAATTGTTCTTACTTTTCAGAAATATGTAGATTTTAAATACAGCCTGTTAACCTTCTTAAATTTTGTTTCTAACCTCTAAATCATATTTAACATCCCTGAATTTTAATTGTCAATTTTTATAAATCAATTCTTTTCTCAATCTATCAAATCAAAGGCCCTTAAAACTGATATAAGTATGTATTGTAAAACTGTAGCCAGGGCCGGGCGTGGTGCCTCATGTCTGTAATTCCAGTACTTTGGGAGGCGGAGGTGGGCAGATCACCTGAGGTCAGGAGTTCGAAACCAGCCTGGCCAACATGGCGAAACCCCATCTCTACTAAAACGACAAAATTTAGCTGGGTGTGGTGGTGGGTGCCTGTAGTTCCAGCTACTCGGGAGGCTGAGGCAGGAGAATTGCATGAACCCAGGAGATGGAGGTTGCAATTAGCTGAAGATTGTGCCATTGCACTCCAACCTGAGCAGCAAGAGCAAAAGTCTATCTCAAAAAAAAAAAAAAAAAAAATTGCAGTCAGCACATAACTTCATTATGATGCATTTGCATTTTTCCATCCAGAGATTTTAGTTTTTCTTCTACAGAATTAGTATAATCAAACATTAAAGCAAAAAAAAAAATGCAAAAACAAAGCCAAAATTAAACACAAAGAAATTTAAATCTATCTTTTAATTCATCACTCCCAAAGTCCTGACTGAAAAATAAGCCCAAAATATCAAAAACATTACTAACAAAGACAAAACCATTGCCTAACTTGTACAGATTGAATGAAAAACCCTGGGTCCATATTACATAAACAATTTGCAGATTTGCAGATGGGCCCCTAAGGTGATGTTTGACAAGATGACTGTTAATCCAAAATGAAAACAGTGAATGATACTTGGTTGAATATAAGCAGATAGAGGGTTGGTAGAGTCTGTAGAGGCCAAAAAGACAATCAAAGTACTGACAACTACTGACAATCTAGATTTCTGGCAAGGATTTAGCTCAGAAACATATGAGAAAGGGGTAAGTTAATATGCAGATAACAAGCTTCTTATTTTCTTGGTAGATAAGGGTGTTTTGTGTATGCATACATTTTCACATTTCAGTAACATATAGATGTTACCATAGGAAAAGTCTAACCGTTATGCTACATTTTCACATAACACTAATTGAGGGCCTGCCATGTTACCTTTATGGGAAACTACATACACTAAATTTGTTTTTAATTGGCAGATTAAAAAGGTATGATTCCTTTCACAGAAACAATTTATTAAGTCAACATATATACTGGTAAGCAAAGAAGGAACTGGGTTATAGATGAGTGGCCTGGCAGAAAAAAAGCCAGATGGTCTGGTATGATTTGGTTTGGGGGTGGTGAGATGGCACACACATAATTCTGGTGGCATACTGGGTGTACACTGGGAAGCAAAAATACAGGTATCCTGTAATAGGAAAAACTAGGTTTATGATACATTATGTGAGGGATAAAGACAGTTAAGCTCATCCTTTCCTGGTATACTATAATTTAAAAAAACCTAATAAAGCAAAACATAGTTTTTTCCCATAGAAATAAAATATTTTCTTAGTTACTAAGCTGTCCTAATTCCCTTTCTAGGTGCCTTGTGAGTTTCAAGCATCTATGTGTCAATTCTCGAGAATTCATAAGCAGGAAAATTTGAAAAGGGAAAAGAAATATGAGAAGCAAAATAAAACCACCTAGAAGAACAATAAAAGACCTTCCTATCAAAGTCTAATTATAGCAAGAATGTACAAAATTAAATCAAGAGGTACATGCAAATAAAAGCAATTTTCTTTTGTTTGGTAGGAAAATAAATATATTCTACTCCCTTGATGCTTTTAGTTTAATTTGCTTTTTAATTCAAAGCAACTGTAACTCTCCTTTCACATAATACTCTTAAGTTTTACTGAAACCCAGCTAGAAATGGGAAGGAAACAGAAACGGGGAGGGGGGGCGGGGCAGCAACAAGAGATATTCATGCATTCACTCATTCACTGACTAGATTCCAGGCACTGAGAATTCAAACATGAAAAGAGTTCCTATCTTTGAGAAGCTGACACCTCTTGAAGGTCAAAAACTGTACTTGGGGTAGCCATGGTGGCATAATCCCAGCACTTCAGGAGGCCGAGGTGGACAGATCACAAGATCAGGAGTTCAAGACCAGCCTGACCAACATGGTGAAATCCTGTCTCTACTAAAAATACTAAAAATCAGCCGGCTGTGGTGGCAAACACCTGTAGTCCTAGCTACCTGGGAGGCTGAGGCAGGAGAAACGCTTGAACCCAGGAGGCAGAGGTTGCAGTGAGCTGGGATTACACCACTACCCTTCAACCTGGGCAACAGAGCGAAAATCCATCTCAAAAAAAAAAAAAGATTTTGAAAATGGAAAATAAAAACTGCAGATCTATGAAGGTCAAGGGGAAGTTAAGAAAAGCTGTAAAAATTGCTGAAACCTGGCGACGTGTTTAAATTTCATCAGCGTTACTTCTATGAACTCTCAGAAATCATGGATTCGGTGACTGGCAAAATGGCCAAATAGGAACAGCTCTGGTCTGCAGCTGCCAGGGAGATCAATGCAGAAGGCGGGTGATTTCTACATTTCCAACTCAGGAACCGAGCTTATCTCATTGGGACTGGTTACACAGTGGGTGCAGCCCACAGAGAGAGAGCCAAAAGCAGGGTGGGGTGTCACCTCACCTGCAAAGCACAAGGAGTTGGGGAACTCCCTCCCCTAGCCAAGGGAAGCCATGACGGACTGTGCCATGAGGAAGAGTGCATTCCGGCCAAAATACTAAGCTTTTCCCATGGTCTTTGCAACCCGCAGACCAGGAGATTCCCTCAGGTGCCTACTTCACCAGGGCCCTGGGTTTCAAGCATAAAACTGGATGCATTTGGGCAGACACTGAGCAAGCTGTAGGAGTTTTTTTTTCACCCCAGTGGTGCCTGGAACAACAGCAAGACAGAACCAACCATTCACTCCCCCGGAAAAGGGGCTGAAGCCAGGGAGCCAAGTGGTCTAGCTCAGCAGATCCCACCTCCATGGAGCCCAGCAAGCTAAATTCCACTGGCTTGAAATTCTTGCTGCCAGCACAGCAGTCTGAAGTCGACCTGGGACACTCAAGCTTGGTGGGAGGACGGGCATCTCCCATTACTGAGGCTTGAGTAGGCAGTTTTCCCCTCATAGTGTGAACAAAACTGCTAGGAAGTTCAAAGTGGGCAGAGCCCACCGCAGCACCTCAAAGCCTACATAGCCAGATTGCCTCTCTAGATTCCTGCTCTCTAGGTAGGGCATCTCTGAAAGAAAGGCAGCAGCCCCAGTCAGGGGCGTATAGATAAAACTCCCCTCTTCCTGGGACACAGTACCTGAGGGAAGGGACGGCTGTGGGGGCACATTCAGCAGACTTAAACGTTCCTGCCTGCCAGCTCTGAAGGGAGCAGCACATCTCCCAGCATGGCACTCAAGCTCTACTAAGGGACAGAATGCCTCTTCAAGTGGGTCTCTGATCCCCATACCTCCTGACCAGGAGACACTCCCAGCAGGAGTTGACAGACACCTCATACAGGAGAGCTCTGGCTGGCATCGGGCGGTGTCCTTCTGAACAAAGCTTCCAGAAGAAGGAACAGGCAGCAATCTTTGCTGTTCTGTAGCCTCCACTGGTGATACCCAGGCTAACAGGGTCTGGAGCGAACCTCCAGAAAACTCCTGCAGACCTGCAGCAGAGGGGCCTGTTAGAAGGAAACTAACAAACAGAAAGGAATAGCATCAATATCAACAAAAAGACGTCCACACAAAAACCCCATTTGAAGGCCAACAACATCAAAGACCAAAGGTAGATAAATCCACGAAGATAGGAAAAACCAGCCCAAAAAAGGCTGAAAAATTCCAAAAACCAGAATGCCTCTTCTACTCCAAAGAATCACAACTCCATGCCAGCAAGAAAACAAAACTGCACAGAGAATGAGTTTCACAAATTGACAGAAGTAGGCTTCAGAAGGTGGGTAATAACAAACTCCTCCAAGCTAAAGCAGCATGTTCTAACCCAATGCAAGGAAGCAAAGAACCTTGAAAAAAGGTAAAACAAATTGCTAAATAGAATAATCAGTTTAGAGAAGAACATAAATGACCTGATTGAGCTGAAAAACACAGCACAAGAACTTTGTGAAGCATACACAAGTATCAACAGCCAAATCCATCAAGCAGAAGAAAGGGTATCAGAGATTGAAGATCAACATAATGAAATATAGCATAAGGACAAGACTACAGAAAAAAGAATGAAAAGGAACAAATAAGCCCTCCAAAAATATGGGACTACGTGAAAAGACCAAATCCGCATTTGATTGATGTACCTGAAAGTGATAAGGAGAATGGAACCAAGTTGGAAAACACTCTGCAGGATATTATCCAGGAGAACTTCCCCAACCTAGTTAAGACCGGCCAACATTCAAATTAAGGAAATATAGAGAACACCTAAGATACTCCTTGAGAAGAGCAACCCCAAGACACACAATTATCAGATAAACCAAGGTTGGAATGCAAAAAAAATTGTTAAGGGCAGCCAGAGAGAAAGGTCAAGTTACCCACAAAGGGAAGCTCATCAGACTAACAGTGGATCTCTGTGCAGAAACCTTACAAGCCAGAGGAGAATGAGGCCAATATTCAACATTCTTAAAGAATTTTCAAACCAGAATTTAATATCCTGACAAACTAAGCTTCGTAAGTGAAAGAAAAATAAAATTCTTTACAGACAAGCAAATGCTGAGAGATTCTGTCACCACCAGGTCTGCCTTACAAGAGCACCTGAAGGAAGCATTAAACATGGAAAGCAAAACTCGGAACCAGATTTTGTCACCACCAGGTCTACCTTACAAGAGCGCCTGAAGGAAGCACTAAATATGGAAAG